AGAATGTCAAAACCTGGATTGCATCCAAAGAAGATAATGCTTTCCATATGGTGGAATATGAGCTATTGCCATCAGGACAAACAATTCTTAGTTTTAATTTTCTTATTTTTTAGATTATTTTATTTTATTGTCTATTGTATATACTTTTGATTATTATTTTGTTCTATTTGTTTTATTTTTTTGTACAAATAGTGTGAATGTCATCCTACCTCACTATAACCAATGTCCAACAGACAGATTGTTATAATACTCAATAAAGAAATTTTAAAAAAAAATTTTTCAATATGACATTTTGGGGAATATTTTCTTCATCATCAGAATCTTTATTTCAGTAATTTTACCTAAATTTAAAATTAAATATATATATATATATATATATATATATATATATATATATATATATATATATATATATATATATAAATATATATATATATTGTAACTGGCTGATTAATATATATATTTTTTTATACATTTCATTTAATTATCATACTTCTATTAGGTTTCTTAATAATCAGCCAGTTATCCAGTATTTTGATGGCTCCTGCTGTTATATATAATATTAAATATTAGTTGGAACTTTGTCTTATGTTTAATAGTCATTTAAGCTATTTTATTGACAACAGGTTTCTTTTATTTAAACTTTGTGTTTTTAACTTATTGGGTTGGCAAATTAATCCTTTCGGTTTTTATGTTACTATGATACATTTCTTATCTGATGAATTAATCTCAAAGGTGGATTGTTTATCCTGTTTGTAATATGTCAACAACAACTGTTGTTAATTCTTGTTGAAACTAGCTCAGTATTGTGTTTGCTATTGCACTGTGAATAAGGAAGAAAATATCATTCATTATTGCCATATTTTGTTTTATTATTTTAAAAAAGGTAAGTGTGTTGCAAAAGCTCATAGAAAAATTTGCAGTGTTTATGGAGATGATGCCTTAACTTAAAGCACCTGTCAAAATTGGTGAGCCAAATTTCATTCATGAAATTTTGACGTCAATGATGCTTAACTGTCTGGTCGCCCACATGAAATTGAAACGAGCAATGTTAAGGCCATTGTTTATCACAATCCCACCCAATCAATGCGAGAGATTGCTATGGCCCTAAATGTGTCCCACACAAGTGTAGAAAACCATTTGCACAAGCTCGGATATGTTTCTAGGCATAATTTTTGGGTCCCTCACTCCCTACCTGAAATCAACTTGGCAACTCGCATTTCTGTTTGTGATTCACTACGGAAACGGCAACAAAACGACTCATTTTTGAAAAGATTGCTAATAGGAAATGAAAAATGAATATTTTACTATAATGTAGTCTGTATAAAATCTTGGGGACCTAGTAGTGAGGCACGTAGAAGAATGTCAAAACCTGGATTGCATCCAAAGAAGATAATGCTTTCCATATGGTGGAATATGAGCTATTGCCATCAGGACAAACAATTGATTGAACAAGACAATGTTAGTTCCCACACCTCATTGGTCACCTGCAATAAATTATTGAGCCTTGGATAGGACTTTTTGCCCCACCCTCCCTATTCACCAGACCTAGCTCCCAGTGACTATCACTTATTCGAGTCTCTACAGAACTCCATGAATTGAATGAAATTGCAAAAGGAAGAGGACATCCAAAATCACTTGGATCAGTTTTTTATCAATAAACTCAAGACATTCTATGAACCTTTAAGTTATTCAGAAATCTTATCATAAACCAGAAAGTTTTAGATAGGAAGTAGATGATGAGAATAATGAAAGTTTTATAATAGTAATGGAATTAAGGGAAATAGAGCTATCTCAATAAAATATTTTGTTTTATGTCTATTCTCTTATATAGTCATTTTTTAAATAGTTAGCTTAAACCATATTTACAACCTGTAATGATGACATATAATGATTTCAGGTTGAATTGAACCCTCAAATTTTGAAATTAATTCTTTTCTTTGGCTAATCTTGACTAGATATTCCTTTTCCTTAGTATATTTTTATTTTGAATGACAAACCACCGAGGAACTCAGAAGGTGGATTTATTGTATATTTTCTGTGTCAAGAAGAAATTTTTCTTTCTTACTTTATTTTTTTTAAATAGAAAAATAATGGATCATTACAGAATTGGTACTGCTTCATACAAGCTATTCCTACATGGCAAGCTGTCTCCAGCAATTTCAGAATGTATAATGAATGTTGAAAATAGCCGAGTATTCCCGAAAGTAGACAGAGGTAAGGTGGCCACTGACAATCACTCCAAATCTATGTACAAATGACTTTTAATTAATTTCAGTTAATTGTGATTATAAAGAATTAAAGTTATATAAAAAATTAAAATAAAGAATCAAACCTACTTTCCACTTGGCAACTTTCGGTATTTGAAATAAAGTTGGTTTGGTTATTGGAGTTCTCCCGCCATGTTGGGGTGGCTTGTGTAACGGTAATAACTAAAATTGGCACTCACGTTTACATGTTAACTCTTCTATAGAATACCTTGTACTAAGAAATGGAATGATTATTGTCTATTCATTTATGAATATTTGATATTAATAAAAGAGATTCATACTATTGTTATTAACATGGTAACTTTTTTGTTTTCAGAGTAGAAAAATAATAATAGACATAGGCTGTCGTTGCTAGATATAAATGAAATATTCTGTGTATTTCTGTACATCTATATAATCTGTTTCATAGTCTTAGCTTGAGTAGTTCTTAATGGCTAATAAAAACGTTTGCTGTGCAGGTTTTCAGGATAAAAAATAGTTAAAGAGTAAGAAAGTTTGAGAACTCTTAGAGAAGGTTAGAAGTTTTAAGGTTAAGAAGGTTTAACCGCTCTAAATTATATCTTTTTGATGCTTCCTTTATATTAGATAGAGCCTACTCGGTAAAGAACCTTAGACCCAAAATAAGGTTTCATGAAAGCAATCACACCAATCATTCTACTCTGGAGTTGTACTACTGACCATTCAGTCAACTGTAATAATTTAAATGTTAATCTACTTAAATAAATTTAAGTCTGGATCACCCTTCTCCACACTTAATTCTCTAGTCTCAATTACAAATCTCATTTCTTAGGTATTTTTGGAGTTAGGGAGAAACATTGCTTTTCAGCCTTTTTATATGTCAAAACAAATTTATAACATATGAGGTATTATTTTTTGTTGTTTATTATATTTAAATAAGTTTATACTTGATTTGTATGTATTTATTATTTAATTATTAAGAACTATTGATTATTGTCAAAATCTTCTCCCTATTTTAGCACTCACTATTTTAGGTTTAACAATTTCTAGCACATTTTAGCTTTTTTTAATATGACTAGTATTTATTTTATACTGAGGCTTATATTACTAACGAATTCCTGGCTGATGGTGGGGAATTAAAAAAAGGTAAAATGAAATGTTATTTATATAACTAATATATCATATTAGAGGCAATTGCTAGGAGATAGAAGCTTCCATTGAGAGAGGTTGTCCTCAGGGATCCAACCTTGGTCGTACTCTATGGAAGTTAGTCTTTAATGAGTTGCTTGGAGTGTTAGAGGAAGAGTAGTTTCCTGCCACTGCGTACGTTGATAACCTAGCTGCTCTGGTGGCCTCCAATAGCATAGCTGGTGTCAAGAGAGAAGCAGAGTGATATGCTGGTCTAGTCACAAGATGGTGTGAGGTGAAGAAGTTGAGGATGGCTACTGCAAAGACTCAAGCCATCCTCTGTAAGGGAAAGACTGATAGGGCACACTCTATAACAATGTGCATAGCAGGCCAGAGGATACGTCCAAGTGAGGTGGTAACCTAGCTAGGAGTTAAGTTAAGTGTGGGTCTGAATGCGACGCCTCACTTGGAATATTTGACAGGTAGGATGGCCCTAGCAATGAACGGTCTAAGTCGCATGGGGGCTCGAGTATCCAGCCACAATCACTATTTATAAAGGTGTGGAGGATGTCCTGAGATATGTGTCTCCTTTCTGGTTTCAGAACCTCACACTAAGACAGAGAAATAGGCTAGCATCGACTCAGAGCTGAAGCAGTGCAGGTGCTAGTTGGGGGGGGGGGAGGATGCCTCTCGACCTCCTCATGTGAGAAGAAGTGACTAGGCATGATTACAAGAGAGAGGGCTCAACAAGTCTTTTGGATGAGGATCATTGAAAACCTTAATAAATGGAAAAATATAATCTGGGAGGAAACAATTGAAGAGTGGAACAGACACTGGGTACAACTCTGAAAGGAAATACTTCCCCACTGTCTGATCTTGGTTACAAACGAAATGGATCCTCCCAACTATTGGGTTTCACAATTTCTCACGGGTTAGGGGAGTTTAGAGCTAAACTATATGGTCTTGGACAGTTCAGCTTGTGGTTATGACCTGCGCTGCTTTCGATGGATTAAGATCCACGTTAATGAGAACCACAGGAATTTATGTCCTTACGGAGGAGGAGTTTCCTCAATTTGGGAGTGAGGAAAACTTCCTATGGTTCAAAGACTTCATAAATAGTTGGAAGACGGCGGTGGGTCCAGCTCACTTCAAACTTCAACCTAGAAAGAGAAGAGTACCAGTGCCAGAAAGGCTTCCAGATTCTGTAAGCCAGGCTTAGTTAATTGAAGAATGGAAAGTAAAAAGTGCTAGCTGTGTACACAGCTGTGAATTTTATATACTGTTATCATTGCAGTAGTGTGATATTATGCAAAATAATCAACATTACACTACTGCATACTTGTCTCCGTATTGTCCTAGTGGCATGGAAGGGTGGAAGTAGATATATAATAAAAACTAATAAATCATAATAAAGGAAGTTATATTAGTTCCTGAAGATTTCAAACTGCATTTTATGTCATGTATTCCCTCTGTTTTTTTTTTAACATATTAATTGTTTCCAATTTACATATTATATTTTTTACCTTTTAATTATCGTTTTTAAGCCTTGATAAAGATCTACAAAGTGGATCAAAGTATCAGCTAACAACTGTTTAATTTAGAATGATGGTTAACTTTATTCAGGTTGTACATGATGCATTTTACCCCTTGTTGAACTGTTTAATAATAATAATAATTAGACTTAATGAACCCAGAGATTCAATGTTCAATTATATAGATACTACTAAGTAAATATTTGAAAATAAGACAAGAAGTTCCAATAGATAATTAATAACACAATTATTTATTTGAATGTTTTATGTGCATATTTCATGAACTTACTTTCAAGTATTTAAGGCTTTTCTATATTCATAAAAATGAATGCCTTTTGTGCTGTAAACTACATACAATGATTTAATTCCAGGCACATATTTACATATTGCCTGATTAAATTACATTCAAAAAACTTACAAAGCACTTTAAAATGGTCATAAGCTGCTATATAAACTATGTTGCTTTCTACCATCATAATATGAAAATTCTATTTGGAAAGTAGTGTAGAATTTCTTACAGTTGAAATACTTTTTTTTTTTTATAAATTACAACTTGCTATAATGTGTAAGATAAGAAATGATTCAATGTCTATTCTGATGTAAAAGACATTAACTCAAATTAAAAAATAAAGTATTGAAAAATATTAGAATTTCTTCAAGTGGTTATTTATATAAATAAATCGTGTGAATCTATTTAGTATTAAGATAAAGTACCATAAAACTTTATGCCATGGGAACTTTATGCCATTTGGAGTAACATTACTCCAAAACTAGAATCATTTTTCTGTTCCCAATTTCTAGAAACAACTATCCGTTCCAAAGAGTTCTTCCAGTTTTACAAAGAAGCCATTCATAAGTTGTCAGGTATTCCATTAGTTTTTTCTTATCTCATCAAGAAATTATTCTAGTTTTAGAATAGCATCATCCTCAATGATTAAAGTTTCCCTGTTTTATGGTATTGTACACACTTTCTCCTGTCTTTCCCCACTATTGGGTGTTGAAAAAAAAAAAAAAATATATATATATATATATATATCAGTCATAAATCAGCAACTTTATTAATTCTGAACTTCTAAAGGAACTGATGAATATAGCAATTCTATTTTTATATTTATTTATAAAACCCTTCACTACTTCCATTATCATACTATTACTAGCACATTGAAAAATCTAAGCTTCTCAACACACACATATATACACTTATATGATATTTTTCATTAACATAAGTAATATATTAAACATAATGCATTGTTGACCTGCTGATAGGTTGGTTTGTTTTTCACATTTTGTTCTAGAAGGCCTCAATTCCAGGTCATGTATTGAAATCATTATAAAACAAAAGAAATAAAAGGTACATACAACATTTAGAGTCATAAAATACTTACGAATTAAGGTATATAATAAATATATTTATCATTAATGGCTTTTATGCCATATCCCTTAGTATATAACTTATGTGCTAATGTCTTTGGTTTTTAAGCTGCTTTTGATAAATGGTTAAATAAAAAGCTTTTTTAAAAATTAAATAATACATGCTCACATCCATATTTTTTTCCCTCCAGTTAAGATTTCATAATCTTACTGATATACATGCATATATATATATATAAACTTTATTATTGCATCACATGAATATTAGTAGTGCTCAAGTGAAGCAAATAACATCTGAGCATTTATTATATCTAGAAGTATAATAGCTGAGATCAGTTGACCTTTTTTTTTTATTTTTTTTTTTATGCCAAAAACTATTCTAAAACCTGGATTTCCTTTAGGCATTAAAGAAAAACAGTTTTTAAACGAACAACAAAACAATGGATTCGATGTAACAAGCAGTCCAGGTAAAATGGACTTAATTACAAACTAATAACATGGTAACAATTACAAATATGGAAGCTTTAACATGAATAAATACATAAGTAATAAATATTTCTTTTCAAGTATTGTCAACAACAAGGGAGGGCTTAAAAACTACACTATGTATTTTTTTTTTTTTTTTTTTTTTACAAATTTGACCTAAGCTTAAAAAGACTAATTAATATCTAAATCCCATCATATAAAAATAAATCACACTTGTAAACTATTAAAAAAGTTGACTTAGAGTCGTAGCCGTAAGTCAAACCCAAACCAAATAGATTTTAAAAATACTACAAAATGTTTTAACTTTTGATATCTATATTTGAAATTATGAATTTATTACTGATTGCAGGGATCGCAGAACCATTAAGTAGAAGAATTAACACAATTTAAGAATCCAAATAATTAAGACTTTATTTACTTTTAATAAAATCTTTAAAAATGCAGATATATTGAAAAGTAAAATGTTAGTTTTTTTTAATTTCAAGATCTGAACTACAGAGTTAGTCTTTTTATACAGAATAATCATTTTTCATTAAATAGGAGGATGGGTAAATATGATTTTCAAGAGTAATAATATAAAGATAATATGCACAATTAATATTTTAGTATTTAGATAAAATCACAATGTAATGAATGTATAAGAAATGAATTAATATGTATATGCATGTATGTGATAATACTTATAATAAATTAATTGTGAAAGAGTGGTTTGATCCCATAGATCAGTATCATTATAAAATAAAAATTGAATGATTTGAACAATAAAACCTATTGAAAACATTTTAGTACTTTTCATTATTGTAGTATGTTCTTGAGACCTAATTTTAATCAGTAGCTGTTAAAAAATGAAATAACATTTCTTCTTGGTTACATTTTGTGGGCAAGTTTCAATTTAATTAAGTAGGTAAATTTGGAAATCTTAATCTTTCTTTAACTGTTTTGTTTTTTCATTATAACAGTTTTATATCTACGTTTTGGGGAATGTTTACCTTGCACATTAGAGCTTTTATTATATTCAGATAATTAATTCATGATCCAAATAAACAGTTTCACCTATATTTTTATGGCTGCTGTCATATATTGTAAAATATTAGTTATAAAAGTAAGTAAAAAAGTAAAGTAAGTACTAAGTAAAAACTAATAAATTAGTTTCCTATAATTATATCAGATTGTGATTGACTATACCAAATTGATAGCACCCGGCACTAATGGATCCAATATTTAATTTTGGAGGACTTCAGTCCGAAAACTTTTTTAAAAAAATATATAACGATAATTACTTAGAAAGAAAAAGAAAGAAACTAACTACCAATAAGAAATGGTGTTTAAGTGATTCTTGAAATCCTATTAAATGTAATTACAGGGACAATAATACTTTTAGAGATAATTTTATAATACTGTTTTTCTAAGAAAAGGTTATATTTTACCATTTTAGTACTGCCTGAGAGCCCTCCTCCTCCTCTCCATAGATCCACCTGTGGCTCTTGGCCATGAAAATTCAAAAGTAACTCTTACCTAGTATTTTATAATACATCACAATAGCAGCCATAAAAATAAAGGTGAAATAATTGATGCTCAGGTAGTAAAAGTTCTTATGATTGGGAAAATATTCCCCATGTAAAAAAGAAAAGAAAAAGATTATTGGCTGAATTTCATGAACAACTATTAATTATTCATATTTTCTACTTGGCAGTATATCAATTACTTACTGATTAAAGAATTATATATCTCAATGTAATGAAATTTTAAGTTTTTTTTTTTACTTTGAGGAAGGTAGGGGTTTTCAATGACATGGTTTAATATTGAGACTGATGATGTCTTATTGATTTGTTTTTTTTTTTATTCCTAAATACAGTTTTAAAGAGAATTTTTATGAAGTGACATTCACTCCTAGTTTGTTAATCAAAGTTATTAATGACTAACTCACTTAAAATAAAATAAATAAAATATGTTTTTACATATCACCAAATATCCCTGCAAATGTTTTTCTTAAGTTTTTCATGGTATCTTCGGTGTCTTCTGAACCTGCTGTTGATCCTTGGCGACCCAGAGTTGGCCTGCCTGCTGCACTAACTGAACTCACTGTACTGGTTTGCGAAACTATGGGGATTAAAAATAAATATAATATATTCTTATTATATTGTGAAGCTATGGAGATTAAATTTTTATTTTGGATATATTAATGATATGTTACATATAAGTTATGTCTGTATGTATATCTCTGCATATATTTGTACATCTTAAAAATGTAATGCATACTTTTATAAATATAGGTCTCTTCTATACGGCTTTCTAGAGAAGAGAAAAAAAGTGCTTACATTCACATTGCATATTCATAATGAAAGAGACACAACTCTAAATTTCTAACTGGAATATTAAAGATTAGATTTATATCAGCAATTTGTAAAATAATTATTTTCATTTAATTACTCAAGCAATATGAATGTATTAATCTCTAGTACAAAAGAATAACTTAAATGTTTTATATATTTTTTACAAAAACTGGAATATTACCTTGTGAGTCTCTTCTTGGTTGTGGACTAGGGCCTTGAGGTAGATCACCTCTGGACATATCTTCGTCATCAAATGTACTGGAAACTGATGTTCTAGAAGTTGCTTTGGTCATCCCTGGCATGGCACGAAGTACGGTCTGAAAATTATTTTTTGTCAGCTATTTTAGATGGGTTTATGAATGAAAAACTTTCTGATGAATTAAGTGAACTTGTTAGGACAATAAAAAAATGGTGAAGTCGATCGATCACCATACATATTTCTTAAGTCTTGATGAGTAATCTTGAATATGATAAAGGGGACAAAGAATATTGAGGTGCATTTGGACCAAGATTATTGTTATAAAAAAAAGAAGATAAAGTAGTGATTACGGCAGAACTGATTTTGAAGTGTGAGCATGGGACAAATTTACCATTTTAATGAATTAACCATACTGAATAACTATTTTCAAGACTTATGATTGTCTTCTTAAAAGCTGAGTGGTTAAAATTTGGTGGTTTGTAACAAAATGTTTTCAAACTTTTTTTTTTTTTTAATTCTGAATGGTTATCAAGAGGTAGAGAGAGAAACAATTTATTTTCATAAAAATATAAAATATTGCTGCCCAATTATATTGGGTTACTATTTATACAGCATAATCTTTAATCCTTAGGACGATGTCTAGGCGCAAAACATCCAGGTCATAAGCGCCCGATCAACTAAATAACATCACTTAATACTATTTGGATGGTTGGTACAAAAAATAAAAATAAAAAAAAAGGACAAAAAAAATAAAGAAATGGATTGATAGAATAAAATAAATAAATAAGGATAATAATAGACATTTATAGGTAATAAGATGTATAAAAAATGTATAAATAAATAAACTTTAAAAAATAGCAGTAGAATCAATAAAAAAAAATAAAAAAAAAAAAAAAAAAAAAAAGAGAGAAAATATAATAAAAATAAATAGATAAAAAGGAAATTAATAAATTTAAAAAAAAAGTCTGTCAAATGTGTTTTTTAAGTCTTTCACTATCCATAAACTTGATGACTTTGGTAACCATTTCTTCCTGATTTCCCAGGGACGCTGATATATTCCGGGGTATTCCAAAATCTTCTAATCTTGCGGTGTAAAAAGGGCATTCCTCCAAAATATGTCTTATAGTTAGTGATTGGTTACACTTTTGACATCGAGGGATAGAATCTTTTGTTATGAGGTGGAGGTGAGTCAGTCTAGTATGTCCGATCCTCAGCCGCGTGAGGACGACCTCTTCTCTACGACTGCTGCGTTTGGAGCTGGTCCACGGTTGCACCTCTTTCTTTATTGTTTTTAATTTGCTAGGTGCGCTGTTGTCCCACCGTCTTTGCCATTCTTGGAATATGGTTTCTCTCAGAGGTCGTGCAAGTTCAGATGGTGTCAAAAAAACTTTACCGCGGCCTGGAAGAGTAAGAGCCTCCTTTGCTGCTCTATCAGCCATTTCATTTCCTTTAATTCCTATATGGCCAGGCGACCAGATAAAATGTGCCGTTGTTCCAACTCCATGAAGCATTTTTATAAGACTTAGAATGCAGTGTATCCCTGGATGGTCTGGATACATGTTATTCATAGCTTTCAGAGTACTTAGGGAATCCGATACAACAACCACATTTGCAACTGGCTTCTTCATGACGTATCGGAGACTCATTGCTACGGCGTTAATCTCTGCTGTGTAAACACTACAAAGATGGTGTAATTTATATTTGTAGGTAGTATCAGGAGTGACAAAGGCTGAAGCAGTAGATGTATCTGATTTGGATCCGTCGGTGAATATTAGAAGATGTTCAGGTAACGTGATGATTATTTTGTGGAATTTTTCTTTGTAATCTGCAGGTAATGTAGTATCTTTGGTGAATTGGGTGAGTTGGAGATTTAATTTAGGTTGTATATAGGTCCAAGGGGCTGTTTCTTTTTCTATTTCATGTAATGTTATTTGTTTTAGTTTATTTATAATAAGAGACATTCTTTCTGCCAATGGTAATGTGGTATTCCTTTTTTCTTTAAATCTTTTTGAGAATTTAGATTGAAAAACATATTTATGGGAGGGGTGTGAAGTTTGCGGGTATAATTTAGTAATATAGTTTATTGCAAGTTTCTGTCTTCTAAAGTGCAGTGGTATATGGCCAGATTCGACACAAATGCTCAGGGTTGGGCTTGTTCTAAAGGCTCCAGTTGCAAGGCGTATTCCAGTGTGGTGCACGGAGTCGAGCTTGGCAATAAATGAACTTATATATAAATATACAGAAGTGTTAGTTTATATTAGTAATATATATATATATATATATAAAACATTCAAAGGTAAAAAATATTAATCAATTAATTTATAAAACTAGATTATATGCATTTGTATAATAATATATTGTAAAATTGTAATTTGACCAGGTAGAACAGTGTAATAAATGAAGGTCACTAAGTTGGGGATCACTATTGATTGTAAGAAACCCATGCAAAAATTATAAAGAGAAGAATAACATTTTCTATGACTAAGAACAGCCATGTTGCCAAATCTATTTAATTTATTTTCAATTCCTGGTAAATAATTTATGCGATTTATTCATACAATCATTACTTATAATTACTTATTTTAAAAATGAATCACTAATACTTAATAAAACTTATTGCTTTATTAATGATGTTTGATTTATCTTACCTGCATTTTCTGACAAACAAGATCAGCTATAAGTCTTCTGTCTTCTTCTTGAGAATCACCCATTAAACTTAATGCACAGTCATTAACTTCAATTATTGATTCTCTTCCATCCCTGCTCACGATAACCTCTAGTGCACACATATCAAGTCCACCAAAAAGTTCAGTAACTGCATCAATCCAATCTAGAATATATTTGTATAATTATTTGTTTTGATATATATTTTGTAACAATTGAACAGTACTTGTTTTAATCTTGATAGCTTCTTGCAGATCAAATTCATAATACAATATTGAATAAATATGGTAAACTAAATTTAAAAAACAATTTGTAGCACTTACTTTTATATCGATCTAGCATTTGAATTTGCTCCAGCATTGCAGAGCCTGTGTTTGTCTTCCAGTTTCCTGATATAGATTTTCTCCTGTAATTAGTTGTGTAAATATGAGTTGGAATTGTAATTAAATATCTTTATTCATTAAAATTCTTTAAGAGTAAATATTAAATTATGAGTAGAACACTAAGATTAATAAATAGTTTCAGTAATGGTTGATGACTTTGAGCATGTTTTACTTCTGTTTCTTTTTTAGTTTGATGAATAATTAATTTGCTTTTTACTTTTAAAATAGTATTAATATTTAAGAAAAATGGATTTTTTAGTTTCAAAAATCTTGTTTCATCTCCAGCCTTCAGAATTAATTAAATTTTGGATTAATTGAAACTTTTTTCCCTTTTTGGGAGGAGGGAAGATTCAGCCAAAATTTTTATTTATTACGAAACTGTTTCTTAAACATTAAACAATTAAGAAACAAGAATAATAAATTTGGAATAAGAAACGTTGATGTTAATGTCTATGAACAAAATAAACTTTAAAGACCACCTAAATATTAAAGTTACATTAAAGAGTGGTTAAATAATAAAAAATATTCTATTCCTATTCATGCTCATAAAAATGTAATTGGAAGCAAAGAAGTGAAAAATTATTGGTAGTTATATGCCATCAACAAAAAAGGGGAAGATATTTTTATTCAGTGTATATATATATAATGATAGTTAATTTGAAAACAAAAAATTAACTACCTACATAAAATGGTGCTTAAGTTTTTCTTAAAGTCCTATTAAATGTAATTACATGAACAAGAATACATTAAGAGATAGTTTTTAATATTTTTTTTCTGTGAAATATTAAGATCTGTGCTCAGGAATTTCACTTCTTCCGCTATGTTATAAAATATTTCCATTAGTCCGAATTATTCTAATTACGGAATATGCCGAAGAAATTATCATTATCGGTGAATACTAATGTGGTTTCATAGTGAATCGTTAGAAGAAAAATAAAGAACAACGATGTTCAACAACTTTTTATCGATTTAAAAAATTATGATGTTTCATTGACTGTCAGAGGCTTTATAATACTTTAATTGAGCAAGGGATTGCAAAAAAGGTAGTAAATACAATAAGGATGTGCATGACGGGAACATTCAATAGTTGATATCCGTTTTAAAACAAGGTGATTTCATTTTACCTATCCGATTCAATTTAGCTCTAAACCACGACACTAGAGAGTGGTGGGTACCGAAAAAGATTTGAGCGAGGAAATATCAGTACTCGGTTATATATCAGTACTCCGACGATTTGGTACTGTTAAGCGAAGATATGGAAACTATAAAACTAAATAAAATAACGTTGATGAATAACGGTAAAGAACTGGGGCTCGAAATAAATGCGTATAAGACAAAATATATGGTTAGCAGGCACAGGGTGGCAAGGCACTTTCTGGCTCTCCAATATTTTATCAAGGAGATCAGACTATTTCTGATCTTGCAGTATTTCACAGTCATATACTTTAAAATAAGGTTTACTAACCAAAGTGGGAGTGTCAAGATTCATTTTCTGTGGCCGCCGATAAATAAATATTAACCGAACCAGATGGGAATTGAACCCACAATGCTTAGAACCAGGCACTAGCGGATCCAGGATTTAATTTTGGTGTGACTTCAGTCCGAAAGCTTTTTTTTTCATAAAAATGACGATAATTACTTTGGAAAAAAGGAAAGAAACTAACTATCTATATGGAATGATGTTTAAGTGATTCCTTAAGTCCTTTTAAATGTAATTACACGAACAATAATAATTTAAGAGACATTTTTTAAATATTTTTTTCCATAAAACATGGTTATATTTTACCATTTGGGGAGGGGCTTCAGCCCGAAAGTCCCCCATAGATCCGCCCGTGAAACCAGGCAATCTGAGACACACACTTCAGTGTGCCCTGTCATTACGTCCACTTACTCCACTTTCCTAACAACTTTGGGTGCTAAGTCCAATACAAAAATTAGTTGCGGCGTTTAATTATTATGGTCCAATTAAGATTTTTTGTTTATATCAAAGGATGCCTATATAACAATTTCATTGAGGAGGTCAGGACCCACTGAGGGTTGTAGAGCCATTAAGATAAATAGATAGATATGTAACAAGTTAGTCATATTTCAAATAAACTTCCGAAATTTGATGGGAGATGTTAAGTTTTAGAGTTATTCAAAAAATTGAAGACAAGTGAACGGGTTTCCATTGGGTACTAGTAATAGTACATTAGGTACTATTGTACAAGTGTCACTCTACTTTGATGAATGCCACAAGTTATCATGATTACACTATAAATGGAATCCCAAGAATGACCGAGTGGTTCGAAAGTAGATGGATGAATGAATGAATGAAAATAATTTTATTATTCTGGGATTAGTGTCCCTTTTGAACAAGTTACAAATACAGAATATTTATTAATATTTGGAATATATATTAATAAATATGGAAGTGACCGAACCCTCTGGTAAGGCTCCAATCTTAACTGAAAAGGATCCATGTTTTTTTTGTTTTTTAAAATCTGTTTTGAATGAGCGTAAAGGAATGAAAAGGACCTGTAAAGAGTTTATGAACACGTTAATCTTCTGCTATTCTCGAAATCCCACTTATAGCGTAATCATGCGAATTTGGCCCATTACACATTTTAATCAGGGAAGAGCAGAAGGAAGTTAAGACAAGCTGCAGCTGCTTCGAGAACCGGCTTCAGGTGGAAGAATGAGGAAGAATGGAGAAAAGGAAAAACGAGGGCTTGTGCACACAAACAAGTCTACACCTCCTAAATAATAATGTTAAACAAAATTTTAATTAAATAGACCTATACTGCCAGCAATGGTATACGCTTACTGCGTAATACCCCAATGCTGCAACAACCCATATTGCCTGTAAGGAAACGCAGGGAGGGAAAAATAAAGAAAAAAAAAAGGATCTACGGAAAAGGGGGGGAGGCTTTCGGACTGAAGCCCTCCAAAATGGTAAAACATAACCATGTCTCATGAAAAAAATATTAATATCTTATCTCTAAAAGTATTATTGTTCGTGCAATTATATTTTATAGGATTTTAACTATCACTTAAACACAATTCCATAAAAGTTAAATTTCTTTATTTTTCTTCCAAAGTAATTATCGTCATATATATAAGCTTTCGGTCTGAAGCCCCCCAAAGTTAAATCGCGAATCCGCAACTGGATATATAAAAATTGTCATAAACATCGATAGAATCGTTTTGGCGCTATAATCATGACGCTGCTGCTCCTGATCTTTTTAAGATAGTTTCTCAACCATAACTGGGAACTGATTATTGAAACAATTCTATATTATGTTTCAACACCCATGATTATCATCCCATAAGCAAAATTCAGCGCTGATCTTAGGAACTTGACTCATGTACCATCAAATAACTTAAAATAAAATTTTGGGATTGGTAAAATAATAAATAAAATATCTTAATAAATTTTGACAAGAATGAAACAAGGTATTTAATTTTTTTTTTATATCTTGATTAATGAATATTCAATAACAGAATTTTACTTACATAAATGCTTTATAATTATTTCCAATTTTCTGAATATGGATATCATATTTAGAATCAATGTAGGGCTCTGTAGTACAGTAAGTGTTGGCTACTGCTACTACTGATGCAACATCTTGGAAATCTGAGTTATTTTCGACTTTGACTTTTCCTAAACCTGAATGTGCATGCCCGATCTTTACAACTGCTGGTAATTTACTGATAGACATCTGTAATAATATAAAATTAGTAATAAATATGTAAATAAAACTTGAGTGTATATATGTAATAAATAATATATTTGTAAATGTTATATAATATATATGTAAATGCTTATGGTTTAGGAATTAAACTTTCAGTTTGGGTTTACCAAGCTGTTTATTATTATTACGTATGTGTATACTATTTACTGATTAATTAGTTAATCCCGAAATAAGTACATTTAAGTTCAGCTATCCAAATTGTTTAGCTTAACAACCTTCACTTAGTCATAAATGTCTTCACTAAGACCTAGAGAGTTAATCATTCCAAAATTCACATTATTAATTACAGTTAAAAGTTCTTTCATGATTTATTTTTGTTTTTTAGCTTTTCATCAAACTAAAACATAATTACTATTGATTATTATTTTGTATCTCTTAAATACATTATAAATTTTATAATGCACTTAGTACAAATAAACTAAGATAATAATTTTAGCATTATACTCATTATTTATTAAAGGGACTAATATAATTCCTCATTATTTCTTTTTTATTTTTGACCATAAGTAAAATGAATTTGTTAGTTCAATAAATAAATAATGAAAATAAATTGGCAAATATATCAAAATAAGATTTTAAAGCAATAAAACTAAAAATAAATAAGTTTATTTAGGAAAAAATCCAACACTCAAAATGCCTAGTTTTATAACACCCTCTCATATTTTTGTAAATTAGTTTCTGATATCTGTATTGATATAATTATAATTATTATGCTATAATTGAATGTATTATTGCTGTGTTTATACACCATTTATCAATTTAATTTAATTATTAAAGTCATTAGATCACAGTTATTTTTTTCTATCATATTCTAAGTTTGTTTTTATAGTTCATTTTATTGTTCTCTGTTTTGCATTTCTTTCTTGTTAAATATTATAGAATGATTTATTTTTTTATCACAATAAATTTGAATGATTGATTTTGATTGTAATTATATTTAAATGATTACATTTAAATACAAATGCTTGTTTAAACATTAAATTACTTTCTGCTAGTGCTATATATTTACTAAATATATATTAATGGCCATGCTGAATGATTTAATGTAAAAAATATTAACTTATGTGTGAGTGCTATCTAAAAATATATAAATCATAAATTATAACACCACCAATAACTCAACTCTACCAACTTTAATAGGAGGTTCAAAAAAAAAAAAAAAAATAATAATAAAATGAAATAAACCAGTAAATTTTGTTGCTAAAGACCTTATAATATATAGCTAATTATTGAAAACTTTTTGAAATAATATGTATAATATGAGCCTGGTTATTGTTCGATTAACTTTGAAAAATTAATGAGGTAGTTAGAAGCTTGATTCATTTTCTTCAAGAATAGGGCTAAGCAGTGTTATAACTTATATGACAATATAATATTTTTGGTTCATTTTTATGGGTGAAAGTTACCTTATTAAGCTAAAAAAGGTGTGAAAAAATAACTGAATTTCTAATTTTTGTTTTCTAATTTGGAAGCATCAGAAATTTACTTACCAAAGATATTAATTGTTCTTAAACTTTGTAATTAATATTTGTGAAGATTTCTTCTTTATCTCATGAATAATCCTGAGCCTTGGATATTATGGATTAATTTAAAAATTTAGAAAAAATGGTAAAAGTCTTTAAAACTTCCTTTTCCAAAGAGACCATGATAATGGTGATTTACAATGGTTTCCAGTAAATTACTTGGCTTATGTATTAGCTTTTTATCAATGTTTTGATTCTACATTTGAAGTTTCCCAATCAATAATTGCACTTCACCAGACCTTCATTGGTTTCGGTAAATTTGGTTAAATTATGACAAATGTGGTAAAATTGGTTACGATGAATGTGTAAAGGGATTGGGATAGCTCAATGTGTAAGGCACTGACTTTCTCAAGCTCCCAAGTACTTTCTCAAGTTCCCATGTTCAAATCTGGCTGATGGCAGATAATTATTTATTCTGTTTCATCAGTTGTGGATCTATCTTTGAGTTAGGAAACCCTTCCGGAACATACCCAGCCTCTATAAAGTGGGTACTCTAGGTAATTATTAATTAAATGGAAAAACCTTGCTGTTGGGACTGATCCTGCCCTGATCTCTGCACAACCATTGGCCTTGAAATGACATTTCCTTACAAAGCACTGAACGCAAGACCTTTTATAGTAGTGGCACAGGTTTTTTTTCTGCTTTTTAAACAGTTGATTTAATATCAGAGATTTATTAAATATCTCATTATTTCTCTCTATAGAGAGATTATTAAATTTTTACAAATTATACTGTGATTTTGTAGCTTAGCATATACAACCTGTAGCTTTCAAACTATCAGAGATAGGTTTGATTATTATACAATGTATGTTGCTAATTTTCAGTCATGCTCAACTAAATAATAAAATGGTTGGTGAATCGCCTGACGTTAGCTTGAGACCTACATACTATAAATCTTTGGATTTATCTTTTATTTTTTCTGAAATTTATTTTGAGGGTTTTAAAAAATAAAAATATTATGTAATATGGGTCTCGCTAATATACTACATAATTATTCTAGTTGCTTATTATAATTTTTTTTTTTTCATTATTACAAGCAATGTCAATCATAAGCAAAAAAATGGTTCATAAACTGATTGTTGCATTAAAAACAAATATTATTTGTGTCAAGTTAGTGCATTATTGAATATTGGCTGTAATAAAATCTATATTATTCCAGATCACTTAATAATTGCTTGCATGCATTTGTAGATTGTGAATAATAAGACTATTTTATTGAGCTTTTGGCTAAAAGTATTGTAGTTTGCCTAAATATTTTCTTTATTGGAAAAATGAGTATATCTAGTACATACATTTCAATTGTTAATTATTTTCTATGAACAAGTGGTAATAAATGGCTTAAGTCAGTATTCTAATAGCTTTTTTACTACACTTTGAAAATTAATGAACTTTACCTGCTGTCCTAATGTCTGAAAACATTTCAAGAAAATCTGTTAGTGTGTAAATAAACATATATGTATTACAATTTATTTTTGCTTCCTCACTACTGAAGGTAGAGAAGATTTGTATTTTACTTGGTGAATGATTTTCATTAGTATGTTTTGTGACAAATGGCTACTTACCATTTCCTTATGATTTGGATAAAAGGCTTGATCAATCAGAGGAAAATTTTCTTTTCCCATTCTTTTCTGTAAGCTAATAAGATGACCAAAGACCCATGGTTTGTCCTTCAAAAATCAAATGAAGTGCATAAATTTAGTACATTAGTTTAATAATCAATTAAGTAATCATTTAAGATATATTATCACTGTTTACTTGGAAGTTGTAAATGGCTGATAATGTATTGATGCTGGGAACTCCACCATATTTGAGTCCCAACAGAATGGGTTTGTAATCCTCTCCAGCATCTCTCAAGTTTTGACGAACCAAAACAAAATCAGGTCGAAATGTCCTATCATATATAATTATTGGATTAAATAATAAATAAGGCTATATTTATTAATAATAATACTTTATTTCAAGTAGTAGAATTTTTATTCACCTTGCAACCCTTGTTCCATTTCTGATCACTGTCATATTTATCAAAGTCCCTTGTTCAGAGTTTGCAATAAGTGATAACTCTCGAAACTCAGCCTGTTCTACTCTTATATCATAATCACCGTGAATGCGCCGTACTCTGAAGTATTTTGACCTATAAATAACATTTAATGTCAAGATATAATTTATGTATAGCTTTTAAATTCTTCATTTAAATTTTAAAATCATATTAACATTTTAATTTCCTCATTTCCTATTAAAAAAAATTGGTTATATCAAAAATTTATTGTTTGGACGTGTTGAAATGCTTTTCGGATAAATATTTAGCTTTTTTTATTACATGATTAAATTACTTCATTAAACTACACTTTAATTGTTTATGAAACCATACTTAGTTTTTATGAAGAATTTTTGGCTTGTCTGTTATAAGTAATTAAATCCACATTTATTTTTAACTTCTATTATAAATAATAATAGTGTAGCAAACTTTGCTTTTTTTTCGTATCTTATTAATAACAAAATTTTATGTTTCGGTGTTGCTAGCCCATCTTCAGAGTTTCTTACACATTTACTAATTACTTGTTCTGGGTATATTGTTCATAGACCCATTTTTAAATACAAGAAAAAACATTGCATATATGTTGTAAAGATTGATTGTCTACTAGTGTAAATTAGTTTTTACTTTCACTTACCTGTGTAGGAAGTATATATAGGAAGGATATGCCAGAAATTTAACAGCAACTTTTTTGGCAAACTTGACTTATTGGGAAAGGCACTTTATTTCATCAAATTTACAGTTTTTTTTTTTTTTTACAATTTTCTCGAGAATGGGTCTTATGATTTTGATTAAACTCGTTAAATCAATTCAAAATGAAATGGTCTTTAATATCAGGCAGGTATTATTTTCATTTAAATAATCTAAAAAAATTCTCCCTCTGAAGTACATTTTTTAAATTTAAAATAATTAACCATTTTAGACTAATTATTAATAAAAAATAAAAACAATTGATAATTAACTAAAGGGAAAATAAGTATTAGTGAGATAGTACTTAGAATCTACTAATCAATGGATAGAAACTGGAATATTGGATACAGCCGAGAGTGCTAGACTTTTCCTGCATTCTTATTTTCATTTTCATAGTAGAATGAGTTGGTTTGTAAGAATATTTATCATGTTAATTCTTTATGAACCAGAAAACCTCTGTCCTCCTGACTTTAGATTCAGTAAGATGCAAGATTATTCACTGATTTTAGATTATTGTATTTCATTTCAGTTATTACTACTTTTGTCTTTCACTCCATGGCTCTACATCCGTAAAGAATCTGGGTTTCCTTTTCAATATTTTAACAATTTTTTACCTCTCCATTCTTTTTAGTGCTTGTCTCTTCCATCTTTTTACTCTTATAGTTTTGAGTATATTCTCTAAACAACTTTTGAGTTACATTGCAATTATTATTATTCGGTTTATTTTTGTGTTAAGAATTTGAAACAACTGTTGTTGTTGATTAGGTTGGCCGACAACGTTTAAATTAATGGTTCGATTTAATAAATTGAATATGTATGTTTTCACTTATATATTTAATTGTAATTATTTTAAATACAGTTTGGTACATGATTGCTATATTATCTAATGTTCATAATGAATTGAAAGTACCCTATCCCACACTTCTATTTATAGCATTTAAGCTGTGTGGCTTAAAACATTATTTAAAGTAGACTTACCAATCAGTATTTTGGTCGTCGATTACAAGTAGAGTAAAACATCTATCTTTGTTGTAAGATGGTCTTGCTGCACTTGACACAGCAGCTCCTGTAAATGTGTTTGTAATTAATAGAAATCAATTTGGTATTGTATCATTGATTATTATAATTTCTGTCTCTCTCTCTCTCTTGATGATATATGTGTAAATGAAATTAATATAATTACCTATAAGACTTGCTCCCTGCTCCTTGGCTGCTCCTGTTAGCGATTGTACTCTTTGCAAGAGACTCTCCCTTGTCTTGGCTGGACTAGAGGGAGCACTAGTTGTTTTACTACCACCTCTGGTGAAGGACAGTGATGTGGGTGGCGGCTGTGAAGCCTGCTGCTGTAATGGCTGTTCAGTTTGCCCAATGGGTGGTTGTTGTGGCTGTGGCTGTGGCTGTTGCTGCTGCTGCTGTTGCATGGGTTGCTGTGATTGCTGTGGTTGAATACCTTCATCACCTGGTTCATCTAGCTCCGAGGAAAGATCCCCGGAGCTGAACCTTACCAAAAACATTGGAATCAGTTTAATAATAATCTTGTTTTGTTTTTTAAAATCATAAAACATTGGAATCAGTTTAATAATAATCTTGTTTTGTTTTTTAAATTATAAAAAAAAAAAATGAAATAGTTTATAGATTCATATGATCTCTTCATTTTTGTAGTAAGATAAAAAATAATAGATTGTTTTTTTACTATATAAAGTAAAATGTACATCATTATTGTTTTATGATCTAATTTATTAAAATGTTTGCTGTAATTTTTTTTTTGGTCATCAAATCTCCATCCGCACCTGTCATGATTAGTGACAATAGTCATGATTAGTGACAATTAGCAGACTTGTTGTTAGGTAAAAAATGGCATGATAGGCATGATGAAGTCGAGTAATTTAAACTTTTAACTTTGAAAACAAACTAATATTATTATTTCCATCTATTTTCTTTAAATTTAGTTCTTAGGCTCCAAATTAAAATGGTATTACCACTGAAAAATCAAAATGAGCACTTCATGTGAAATAATTTTAATTAATTCATATATATATGTTTCAATTAAGCTTAAACAATGCTCATTATTTCAAATAATTAAATATAAAACTTTTTAAAAACTATTTTATTTTTTTCAGGACTTAAGAGGTATGCTATATTTCACTATTCAAGGATAGATGCTTCTCATCCTCAAGTTCTAACACTTACAAAAATGCATACAAGTAAGTTCAATGAATCTACTTGGAAAAACATATAGATATGTTTGACTTTTTACATTAATTTTTCTTACTGAATAGAATTATATTGTAAATTTAATAATGTAATTTAGTTGTCAACATTGCTTTAAAGTGTTATAGTCTTAATTGGTATTGTGGTCAATTGGGTAGGCCCTAGTGACCCGCAGCAGAGTTATCCACTGGATTGTTGCCAACCTTTTCTTCTGTTGGTGCGAGACTCCATATGACTCCACGCAGGGGACCCATACCTCAGGATGCCCACCATGACTCCTTTATAAATAGTCAATGTGGCTGGGTACCTGAGACCCCTGATGCGATTAAGTCCATTGAGAGCCAGGACAACCCTACTTTTCATGTAGTCCAAGTGAGGCGCAATGTTGAACATTCTCCCAATTCTAATGCCAAGATAAATAACAGCCTCACTTGGACATTTCTTTTCTCCTTGTATACTAAGAGTAGTAGGGTGGGCCCTGTTTGTCTTGCCCCTTAAAAGAATGGATTAAAGTATAGATGACATTCAGATTAAAGTTGTATCTCTTCCTGTTATGAGATTAGTGATCCAGCATGAACTTTTTATCATGTTGGTACACCTTTGTCTACTACCCTTTACTTGGTGCTTTCTACTACCCTTCCTGATTAATAAAAATAATATAATAAATTGAGTCTAAGCAGTGTTAAAGAAAAGCTAACTGTATAAAAACTTTTTTGAGGCAGTGTATATCATTGTTATAAATTTCCTATTCATGTTATTGAAGTGTATGTTACCTTCGTTTCAAGTAATTAACATTTGTAGTGAAGGAAGCTTTGAAACTTGAGAAAGCAATTTTGGCAGCTAAAGTATGAAGATGGTTGAAGGAGAAGTGAAGGGTGGAAGCTACAAGGGCAACCTGAAACATATATTTTTAATTATTTATTCACTCTACACTTATTCTAATTTAATAATTATTATTTAGACCAATTGTTTTTTTTTCTTCTGAAACATAAGAAAAACATATTGATTATATTAAATGAATTCGAATGTACAATAATTTACAAAAACCAAATAAAGGCATCCATCAAAGTATGCCAAGTAAATTCTTTCATAAAAAGTCGATTCAGGTCTGTTCCTTGAGCCATTTAAAACGTAAATATGAACTCGTTTTTAAATTAAAAAATACAATTTTTTTTTTACTTGCATTTATGATAGAATTTTTTTTTCAGGGCTTTTTCTAAACCATTGAATATACCTCAGTATTTCCTCCTAATTCAATGATAATAAACTACTCTTTGAAATCATATCAATGAATTATATATTTTAATTTATTTATGGAATAAATAAATAAAACCTTCTCAAATGTTTATATTTTATGTCTTCAGCTCTATTGTTCAAACAGGGAGAGAATCTGGTTAAATCTATTTCATGTAGTTTATAGAGCTCTAAATCATAACTCATTTTCATGTAGAGATGGAGTAATGATAAAGTTGTCACAATTTTTGTATTTTAAATACAAATCGTTTCCCCATTAGTGAAAATTTGTTGTTTTTCAATTTCTATGAAAATTCGCATTTAAGAGTTTTTCGAGATGCAAAATATAAATCTCAACTTTGTTTCTACTTAAAAAAACATTTGAATCTACTTCGCTCCTTCAGTTAGTATGCATCGTATTATATTTTAAACAGGATGGGTATCCAGAGTAAGATTATATTCACAAATCTGGTATGTTTTTCAGATTGAGTCCGAGAATAAGAATAAAACATATATGGTACATATTATACAGTCTAAACACATTCAGACCCATTATTTTTTTTTAGTATAAATATAGTTGATATTCGTCAGATATTATATCTGACGATATATAGAGAGATTTTCATTGCAATTGAAAAATAGAAATATGTTGTGCAATATTTTGCTGTATTTAACAGATATAATATCTGCAATAAAGCTGTGATCTGAAAAGAACTATTAATAGAAATTAACTATATTAAACTATTTATAAAGCCTTCGATTTGTTTTAGAAAGAACACAAAAATTGTGATAATCTCAACATTACTCAGTCTAGCCACACGAAGAGTAATAAGAATTTAGGATCCTATAAACTACACAAAATTGCATAACCCAGACCTCCTTTAACAAATTAGAACTGAAGACATAAAATAAAAACGTTTGAGGAATTTTTATTTATTCAATCCTTGAAAAAAAAATCTATAAGTTGTTGATGTGGTTTGGAAGAGAAATAAGACAGCTTTCCTTCCTTGAATTTGAAGAAAATTCTAAGAAATTATGAATGTTTTTTTATAAGCGGTATAAAAAAAAAAAAAATCTTCCATAAAATCAAGTCTAAAAATTTGTATTTCGAAATAAATTCGTATTTCAGTTTTAAATACCGCTAGAAACAAATCTGAATTGACATTTCATTACAAAATTTTACTTGGCTTACTTTACTGGAATCGTGTCATTTGGTTTTTGTAATTTATTATACATTTGAATTTAATTTAATGTAATCAGCAGTACGTTTTTTCTTAGTATATACAAAAAAAAAAAAAAAAAAAAAAATGTCTAATGGAATATATATTATAAAACAGAAATCCATGCAGAGAAAAGACAGAAAGAAATAATATAAAAAAAAAAATTAAAATTTCGTTATATATTTTTATTTTCGTCTCCTAGGGCGCACTGGTAAGAATCTTCGGAAATGGGTCTAATATTTGTCGAGCTCTAGAGTCACAAAAAAAAGTTTCATTGAAATCGGTGAACCCATATCCATTGCTTCCGTAAGTCAACAGAGATTTTTCCAACCAGCTCTCTTTCACTCCGGTTTTCTCAAAGCCTTTCGAGGGAGCATGAGTTGGAAACAAATAAAAGAACGAATTTTGTTTCTGTATAGGTATGGGGAACAGGAATAGAGTATGTCTTGTCTTGAAATTTAGTAGTGAAGAAAGAATATTTATTTTGTTTCTTTCTGATACCTTTTTGAAAATAATGAGACTGAAACTGGTTTATTTCCAGATATCATAAATATCGATTGAATGTTAAGGCAGAGTTCGTTCAGAATCAATTTTTTGCATTGGTTGAAGCACTGCCATTGATCAAAGTGCTTTTCTGAGAGATCTGCTACTTCTGCTGCGTTACACCAGAATTTGATGTCTATGCTTAATAGAAGCAATCATTTGACGCACAGGAAACTGTAGACATCCATCTTGCTTTTTAGAAAGCGCTGAATTTTTGTCATTGAATTCATCGGTAGGCGTTTTCCAGACAGTAAAGCCTAGGAACATTCTTTTTTGTCTACATGAAGATGAATATATTTTTCTTGACTTTATGGGACAAGATTCGAAAAGTTATAGCTTCATTTTTAAAGACTTCGTTTAGATAATGCATCCCCAGTCTGTATTATCTAGTGTGATGGACCAATTTGCGCTGCCCGATATGTCCTTAGAATTCCAGGTACAATTGAGAATGGAAAGACAACTAAATCTTCATTTAATGAAATAATGATTTGATTTAAAAACTACTTTTTAATTTACGCCTATATAGAAGGTCAACTTCACAGATGTAAGCCAAAGTTTATTTAGAATTAAGATTTAACCGCATACTGGGATTACTTACTTTTTAATTCTCCTCGATTTTTGTGTATCTAGAAACGCGGTAGCATTCTGCCCCGCCGAGCGAAAAATCCGTATGAAAAATGTTTTAAATGAAACAAAGCCGCGTGACGTTATTATGTCGACGTTGTAAGTCCGTTTTCAGATATCTCGAGTTGGATGGTGGGACAAATCACTTGAATATTTTCATTAATAAGTAATGGTTGTTATAAAAAAACAGTTTATATATTACATAATAATTGCACTATGTTAATTTGTCTCCTTTATCACGGCCCTCCTTATTTCTCTCAGCTAGTAAGAAGAATAACTACCTGCACTACGAAGCATACGTGTCCGGATATAAGGAATTGGTGGGAGATGATCATTTCAATCTTCACTAACGAATGCCGAAGAACCAGAGGATAAATGGTAGAAGTATCGCGCTACTTCTACTAAAAATATGTATTGCCGAGAGACAAGAGAAGAAGAAATATAAATAAAGTTAATTTGTAACTTTTTTCTAATATTTATTTATAAATAAATACTAAAAAACCTGAATTTTGAAGAAAATGTAATTAATCAATTAAATTAATTTATTATTGATTGTTTTTGTTTCATCAAATTAAAATTTATTAAAAATTTAAAAATAATTAAAATAATAAATAAAATTTATATTTATTCTAATTGCTACTGTTTTAATTACATGATTGGCTAGTTGTGGCGTCTTAACATTGTTCTCTAGCTTTTATGGATTTTGAATTATTTAATGACATCTAAAACAAATAATATGTTCCAAATCATACAACTATTAAAATATTAATTATATCAATATTAGATCAAGGAATTTTCTGAGGGGTGGGCGCACTTGCAAAACAGATGAATTCCAAACACGAAAGCTATATTTAAAGTCGCCGTCATAGAAATTGCATCCCTCAGTAAAAAGATATTGTATTTACCATATAGCTGTCTGCAAGATCTCCAGATATTTCTTTGCCAGTTTTGAAACTATATTCTAAAAACAATCGCACCATTAAGAAGTCAAATTGTTCGTTTATTTTTTTGCTCCTCCCAGTTTCTTTCTTTTGCTCCACGGTGCTTTTTGCTTCCTCACTACCGAAGATGTCGAAGAATTGTATTCATGTGAGAGGTAAAAAAGAAATTGTGATTAGAAAATTTCCACTCGCGTTTTACGTTTCAGTCATCAAGGATCAAAATTGATTCGACGTCGGTCTGTCTGTAGCCAAATCGATGTGACGGGCATATCACCGTTCATCCGATTTTTATGAAGTTTTCAGGTGGTTCCATATCAATTTCATCAAATTCTATTCAGCAGTTACGCTTACGCACGTATTTTTTTTTAGATATGCCAATATTTCAGAAAAAGCTCGTTCCAAATTTGGCTCGAAGTTGGATAAAACGTAGGTATTGGTGAAAAAATAATTTAGTGTCAGTTTTATTGAATTCTGTCCATTACATTATCTTATATATCCGCAAACGTGTTTTCCTTGATACGTGTGTATATCTAAAAGCGCTCGTTCGATTTGGAGAGAAGTTAGAGATTGATAAATTATGATCTCCTCCAAAACACTCAATTTTTATATACCACCTTTTGCACTAACAGTAGTGATAATAATATTCAGTGTGCCCTGGAATTGTTTTTTAATCACTAATCATCAAATATGCAATCCGTAAATGCGAAACTCTTTCGCATTTTATTATTTACTGATGAACAAAACTGGTGGATATAAAATCTGTATATGTTGAGAGATTACTGAATTTCCGAAAACGGCTTCTCTCAGAAATTTTATTTTCATACGAAAAATTTTAGACCGTTTAATATAGATATTTTTTGACCAATGAAAACGGTGAGGAAGCTATACTGACCTTACTTGGCAGACGTTTTTATCCCCATAACTATGACTACCGTTGATTGGTGGTACCCTATCGTCGTTACCATTTTTCGTAAAAATTATTTTACTTTATATAACGTCACAATTTTAATGTTTTTTGAAAAGGACAGTTTTTGATACAGGTCATAATAAGCGCTCAACTGTTGGGGCCAGAGATTGTTTGAGACTTTCCAAATTAGGGTGTGCTCTGTGGCATGCCATCCTCTCCAGTTTGGACCAAAGCCGATAATCCAGTGGGTTGAGATCAGGGTTTCCTCAGGACCAATCGGAGGCGGAGAAGAACAATGGAATGTTCTTTTGCAGCCACTGCTGAGTTGAGCTGGCCTTGTGAGCTGGAGCGGAATCCTGCTGGAAACCCCAATGACTTCCAGCAAACAAAGTATCATTTAGAGGCTTGACAATCGGTTCCAAAATATCATCCTGGCAGTTTTTAGCGGCTGTTTTAACTCCTTTTTCACTAAAATGGAGCTTTGTGGAGCCATCAAAGCAAAGTCCCCAACTAATCATCACTGAGGAAGGGTGATGATCTCTACCCACTCTTCCAATGACTTTCTGGGCTTCTTTAGAGCTGTGTGCGTACACATGTTTAGTTTAGCCGCTTAAAAGTCTTCTTTAAAAAGTTTTAACAAAGACAAACTCTGCTTGCATTTAAAGGAAATTTTTTTGTAGTTTACTATGGAGCAATATTTTATCACCTAAATTATATATTTTATAATCATCGCTTCATATTCAACCTTTAATTAGAAAAAACACGACCCTTAAAAAAAAAAAAAAAAAAAAGCAGCACTCGATTTAATTTCGTGCTTTTCTGTGGAAAATTGTACCGCAGTTTATATGTACTTTTTTGCTACTCTAGAGGTCTACTATGTTCTCTTTGAATATTTCCATTTACCTACGCATCAAACTGTATATAAAATACTTTATACATAAGTGCTTTACTAAGATTTAATCCCTCATTTTTTTTTTTACTTCATCAGCTTTGTATTTGTGCGAGAGGCTTACAAATTTGTGCTCAGAATTAAAATTTTCTACTCGCGTTTTACATTTTTGACATCAAGGATCAAATTTGGTTCGGAGTCTGTCTGTATGTTGTCAGATCAATGTGACAGGCATATCACCTCATACCGTTTATCCAATTTTCATGAAATTTTCTGAGATTGTGCGAGTTGGTGCAGATTGTGGTGTAAATGGTCCCATATCAATTTTATCAAATTCCATCCAGTACTTCCCCTCACGCACCCGCAAATGTATTTTTTTCAGACATGTTTTAGAAACAGTTCGTTGGAATTAGCTTGGAATATGGTCAGGTTAATATAATATATTTAAGAAATTATAAGTATTATTCAAAAAATTAATTAATACTGTATTGTTTGATCGATTCCAAATGTTACTGGCCTGCCACTTACTGGAGTTACTTAGGTTTCGTGTAATTTTCAATAAATTTCATTTCATTTTTACTCTAAGTTAAAATATATTTCTGATTAGGTTTATTTCTATTGAAGTTCAACCAGCTTGTCGTGGTCTTTAAACATCAAAGTTGTGAAACTTCAGTCATATTTTTATATTCCAGCTTAAATTAGTTTTTTTTCTGACTGAAGAAAAATATTGGTCTTGTTAACGTCAAACAAACAAATTGAATTTTTCCAATGGATTTATGTTCATTGCAATTTACTTGTGAAAAAATACCTATTAAATATGTATATATCGCTACTGTTAGTGCAAAAGGTCTTATTTAAAAATTTTCAACTTTTATTCTATTTTTGCTAAAGGTGGCATTTTGTAGTCTGCAACTGATATAGGTAGTCTGCTACTATGAAAAATATCAGAGGGCAATAAAATATGAAATTACACTAATAAATCATAAAGAAATAATAATAATACATAATAGTTCATAATAATAATAATAATACATAATATGTTCTTCTGTAAAACACTCAATTTTCTTATACGACCTTTTGATACAATAACAATATGAATGTTCAGTATGTTCTGGGATTTTTTTTTTAATCACGAATCATCAAATACGCAATCTGCAAATGTTAAACTCTTCCGCATTTTATTATTCGTTGATAAACAAATCTCGTGGATATCAAATCCGCAAATGTTGAAGGCTACTGTATTTCCGTTAACGGCTTCTCCAGGAGATTTTATTCCCATACGAAAAATAGGTATTCATTGTTTAGCCAATGAAAACGGTGAGGAAGCTACACTGACCTCACTTGGCAGACGTTTTACAAGTTAAATAGTCAAGATTTCTCGTTTAATTTCATGACCTGATATGTAAAATAATCATACAAACATCATCAACCTTAAATATATTTCTTATTTCACAACACTATAACACTGTTCTATTATAATCTTCATTCGATTATATTAAAGTAATATAAAATCATCTAAAATCAAATAAAATCATCTATTATCTATAATAATAATAATAAAATATTTTGTATTATCTTCATTTTTTAAGTTATTGCGCTTAAATATTAATAATTATATATTAATCTATGATAATAATTTAAAATTATTATAATTTGGTTGTAATTTAAGAGGTCCAGTTACATTATTTTTTGTGATTAAAGTTCTGTCGTTATATAAGTGATTTTTCTTGTAATTAATCAAGAAAATAATTAATTCATCAATAACACATAAAACAAGAGACAATTTCATGCTAAATTACTGCAGTACTTCAATTGCATAAAATAGACCAAAGATAAAAATAAGCGGAACAGGTAAAGTATACATGTAAAATTAAGTATTTAGAATCCTCGTATTAAACTGGTATTCTATTAAAATTACAAATTATTATTCAGATTTTTTATTTTTACCGGGGATAAAAAAAAAGTCCTATGTATTATCCTATTCACTATTTTATATATATATATATATATATATATATATATATATATATATATATATATATATATATATATATATATTGAATTTGATCGCTAAATATTAATTCCCAATGAACTTTTAATCATGCTATTTAACTAAAATTTCTCGATTCATTCGAATAGATTTTAAGAAATGAGTATAAGTATATAAACTAAATTATTTTAAAAACATTTGCAGTTTTGTTCATCATACAGTGATAATTTTATTTCTTAAAAACTAGTTTTCATCGTAGCTACGGGATTGTTGCAGCGTTGCAGCACACAGGGAACAGGTGTTATATTGCAGGAAGCTGATGCATAATTCATTGTTGGTTGGATTATTTTCTTCATTTCGACAGTTAACAGATAAAATTATATTTAAACATAATTGGGTCTCTTTATGTTTTGCCCTTTATTTAACATATTATGGATTTTTTTTTTTTTAATAAAGAACGTTAATGTTTATTTTTCATTACATATGAAAAAAAAAGCTGACTTTTTGTTAATTCCAAATGCTTCAAGTTATTTAACAGAAGACTTTAAGGTTATTTCTAATTCTCATTTGAAGTTAGTGGCAACAGAAAGACAATCTAGACGAAGGGTAAAAAAGATATTGGAAAAAGTAGGCGTGGGTGTTCTTGTCACGTTTTTCTCGATACCAGAGCTTACCCCCAAGAATATTTAATGAAAACCAACCTTAAATATTATACATATATATATATATATATTCTACTCTTGATGGATAATTTAATTTATCGCACTCGATATAATTTAATTGAAATACATGTTTTATTATTACTTATAATAATATTTCAATCTTATTTATATATATATGTATTCTATTTTGAACTATTATTTATAATTCAATTGTAATTGAATTTTTGTCATTTCTATAATTATCAAATTAAAATTGAAGAAAAAGATTTTCTGAAGAGTTCACTAAATAATCGGGCAATGAAATTGATTTTTTTAATTTTTTTTATCTTGTCTATTTTTCTTCATGAGAAAATATATTGAAAGAGAATTGATTCTTTGTAGGCTTAGTATTTTCTGAATTGGTCTTGGTTCCTTCGAAGAAATCAAGTAACTTGAAATAGGAAAACTACTTATTAATCAGACTGATAACAAGCACACTTTTAAGCCCCTGATTAATATGAATTATACTCACCGGGGAGATGGTTCGAAGTTGAGACGATACTCAGCGGTGCGGATTGAATACGCCACTAGCGCTCCTGCAAACCTACTGCGTGGGGAGGGTGAGGGTACAATCCACTGCAAATACCAACCCCGTCGCGGTAGTTATATATATTTTTTTCTCACCAAAAATCGATTATTTATCGCTGAAAATTATTAAGAGTGATTGAAAAAATGTACGATGAATTACAATATTCCACTTATGCCCCTCCCGTGACTCTGATGGTATACTGACTCATTTTATTTTGAATGGAGTGTCAAGGGGTGGGGCGCAGGAGATCGATACATCGGGGGTAGTAATGCTACAACTCCGTTCTTTGATCACATTTATCCCTTCTATCCTTCCAGTTTAATGTTTTACAACCCTTTAATTCATTCCATCATCATAGAGATAAATAATGATCCATCTGTAGAAAGTTTTTTGAAACTGCTGTTAATTGTTAATCATATTTTTTCAAAAAGATATCATTATATCTGCTCGTTTCTCTATTGGATTTTCACTCTTCGACCCTTCAAAAGTGTAAAAAATAATGATTTAATGGAAAAAAAAAATTCATTGAGGAACAGATATGTGACGTCAACGAGTCAAGGAACTCCCTCGTAAATGTTCGGTCGTTTTCGTTTTCGTTGCATTCGTAATCCGACCAGTAGCATTTATTTCCTAAAAGGCGGTCGATTGAAAAGCAAGATAAATATATTTCTAGTACAATAATTTTTGCTTTTACATATTTAGAAATATCGCTACTGTTAATGCACAAGGTGTTATGTAATACTTTTACATGGTTATTCTATTTGTGCTAAAGGTGTGATTTTGTAATATGCAACTGCAATAAGTAGTCTGCTACAATAATAAATGGCAAAGGGAAATAAAGTATGAAATTATACTTATAATTCATAAAGAAATAATCAATATTTATGCTCTTTTCTATAAAAAACTTAATTTTACATATGATCTTTGGCACTAACAGTAGCGGTATACTACATATATTAAATTTGTGTTGACTAGTTTAAAACTTAAAGTTATCTTGTTATTAAAGTAAACCGAGTTTAATTACAGTCGTGATTTCTTCTTCGATGACTCGGGCACCTCCTTAATATCTTATCATAAATTATTTTGTTAAACCTTGTTGGTATTAATGACGGTATATTTAATTATTAAAATTAATTATCTTTTAGAGACAGAACTTTTTGAAGACTTTAAAAAAAAAAAATCATGGAGGTGATAAATAACCACGATTTGTTTTATATTGAATATTTAATTGTTGACCATTGCATTATAAAGGAAGGAGATGGTCCGGGGTAGCGGTCATAAATAGGCTAAATAGTGGCAAAACTATTTTATTAAAAGCCAACGTTTCGACCTGACTTTGCAGGTCTTCTTCAGAGACCCCTGGACCACCCCGAACCATCTCCTTCCTTTATAAAGAAACGGTCAACTATTAAATATTCAATATGGAGTTCTAAGTGAAACTCCTAGCTGAACACACCTCCCTGAAGAAGACCTGCAAAGTCGGGTCGAAACGTTGGCTTTTAATAAAATAGTTTTGCCACTATTTAGCCTATTTATGACCGCCAACCCGGACCATCTCCTTCCTTTAGATTTCTTTTATTCATCTTGCCGACATTTCGACCCAAGCATATGCTCTTTATTCACTAATTCATTTGTGTACTGTTAATTTCATCTACTGCTTCGCATATTTAATTACTCATACTTTTTAGTTATTAATTCTTACCGTATAACGTTGCCTATTTTTTTATAATTCAAAAAATTCTCCTCATTTATTTTTTCCACATATTTTGGACTTTTTTCTTATTTATTTAATTGTACTATTTATTTACTTAATTCTTCTGGAGTTCCCTCGCCTGATTGTATACAGGTATGCATGTGTTTTTTTTTCTTAGTTTTAATTTTCTTATTTTTTAGATTATTTTATTTTATTGTCTATTGTATATACTTTTGATTATTATTTTGTTCTATTTATTTTATATTTTTGTACATATAGTGTGAATGTCATCCTACCTCACTATAACCAATGTCCAACAGACAGATTGTTATAATACTCAATAAAGAAATTTATAAAAAAAAATAAAAAAAATTATTTATACTATTTTATCTTTTCTTAGTGCAATATTACGTTTATATTACTATTATATTATGTGTACTTTTCATCATGGCTTATTTACACATTTCACTCTATATCTAATATTTCTGATGTAATTTTAAATTTTTACAAAATCTTGGGTCGAAATGTCATCAAGCTGAATAAAACAAATCTAGATTGTATATCCTGATTATTTATCATTCTCTATTATTTTTTGTTATCTTTTCTTATTAACGATTCGGGTGTTTAAACAGGTCCCAATTATTTGTAAGATAGATTTGGTATATCTATATGTTTTTGAAAAACAGTGAACATTTAACCTCATTGTTTTTCCGGCTGCTTTTGATCTTGCTGTACTGAGTTTATTTATTTATTTATGCCTCCCTTCCTTGCCTTTCGGCTACACGAGATTTTGCAGGGATGGCATATCACACACGTGCATGCCATTCCTGCTATTAAACAACAAATTAATTTTCAATTTTGTTTTGTTTTTCAAATATCTTCTTTCTTTCCATTATTTTCAATATATTAGTCTGGTGGCCTTCTATTAGCAGGTTCTCTTCCTAGATTAAAGTGAGAGGGTCCCAGAGCAGCTTTCCACCCGTACACAAAATCTTTGTAATACGGGTAGTTCTGCTCCGTCACTAACTCGGGAAATTCATCCTCCGTGAGGCCATAGATTCCCATTTTTCTGATCATTTCGGCCCTTAGTCCATCAAAGGCGGTGCAGTTGACGATAATATGTTCAGCCGTCTCCGGTACTCCGCAAGTGGGGCATAGGGGATCTATGTCTTTTCCAAAACCATGTAACTTAAAGCGGAAACCCCCATGCCCAGTAAGGAATTGAGAGACCCAGTAGTCCGGGAGAACCCACTTAGCTTTCAAGCGACTTCGGACGGTGGGGAAATATTTTCTTAAGGTTGCTCCTTTCAAGGTTGTTACCCACCGCCGATTCCACTCATCTATGGTGTCCTCCCGGATAATCCTCTTCCATTTTCTTGGGTCTTCTGCAATCCTCACCCGGATATTCTCCGGAAGACCTGCTGAGCCTTCTCTTTTTAACTTAAATATTAGCGAGTCTTCTCGCAGGAGAAGGTCGAGAGGTACCCCTCCTGCTAAGATCTGCACCGCCTCGTGAGACACACTTCGGTATGATTTTGTGACTCGCAACAGAGCCGTACGTTGAATTGTCGCCAATCTGCGTTTCTGACGGTGTGAGAGATTCTGAGACCACGCAGGAGAGGCGTACCTCAGAATACCCACTATCATTCCATCGTAAATGATCCTCGTAGCTGGGTATCTGAGGCCCCAAAATGCACCCCCTAGGCGACTAAGTCCATTCAAGGCTAGGGCCACCCTACTTCCTAAGTAGTCCAAATGAGGGGTCATATTAAATCCTCTTCCAAACCTTATGCCAAGGTAGGTGACCACCTCACTTGGACGTATTCTCGTTCCCTGTATACACAGATTTATAGGGTGTGCCCTATCCGTCTTTCCCTTCAGCAGGATCGCCTGGGTCTTTGATGCGGCCATTCGTAACTTCATCCCCTCACACCATTGCCCGACCAGATTGGCGCACCGCTCTGCTTGTAGCTTTATTCCGGCTCTGCTGTTTGACGCTACTACTGCCGCCAAGTCATCGACGTAAGCCGTAGCAGGGAACCGCTCATTTTCGAGCACACCCAGCAACTCATCAAACACTAGCTTCCATAGAGTCGGACCAAGGACTGATCCCTGAGGGCATCCCCTCTCTATGGAAGCTTCAGTTTCATAAGAGCTACCTCTGACCTTAACAAATCTGTCCTGGAGATAACTACTTATGAGGGCGTATAGATTGCTGGGGGCATCGTACTTCTGTAGCTGCTGAAGTGCTCGCGGCCACCAGACACTATCGAAGGCGGAGGATATGTCAAAAAGCAGCAACATGACATACCGCTCAGCCTTCTGTTCAACGTCCGCTTGTACTCGAAGCAGGGCATCAGCGGTTCCCTTTCCCTTGGTACTACCGTATTGCCGCGGATGGCTAGCCCTTGCGAGAACTGGTCGTAGGCTGGTTAAGATGAGATTCTCCAGGACCTTGCTCATTATAGGGAGGAGACATATAGGTCTATATGACTTTGGGAGCTGCTTATCCCTGCCTCCTCCCTTGTAGAGGAGTCTCAAATCGGCGATCTTCCACATTTTTGGAAAGTATCCCCGATCCAGGCAATCATTGAAAATCCTCAATAATCGCTCATCAATGTAGGGGATACTGTTCTTCAAGATCGCCGCATCTATTGAATCGAGTCCTGGAGCACGTCCTGTTCTCTGCTTTTCCACGGCAATACGTAGATCATGTATGTCCCACGGTGGGCATAAGTCCGTGCCAGGAGGGTATAACGTAGAACGTCGCACGAAAGTTTCCTCCTCATTGTCCTGGGATGGATCATCTCTGGGGTATGTCGCCTTTATGAAGATGTTAGCCGCTTCTTCGAAGGTGGTTGCCTGCGCATCTCCATACTTAAGAGCTGCTATTGTCTGCGGAGGGTTGAACTTACCCATAGCGACTCTTGCTGTACTGAGTTATGCCATTCCTATTTTTAGGTTTATATTTTGAAAAAAAATCTGGTGCGTCCACTCACTCGACTTTCCTACCTGTTTTTATATTTTTCAATATGTCCATTAAAAAAAAAAAAAAAAAAAAAAAAAAATTGAATTAGATTTATTTTCTTGAAAACTGAACAAAGAAAATATTTGAATACGATTTCTTTGAAATGCTAAAGTAATGTAAACCGACTTGTGGAAGACCAGTGTACAAAATTCAACGATTTGGATTAAATTCATCATATCAGTGTAAAATGAAGTACTTCTAAATAAAATGTAGGTTTTATTCTGATTGATGTTCTCTAATAGAGTTTAAATGGCTAATTTTCAATATTTGCTTCCCCTAAAATACCTTTAATTTTTTTTATTTGAAACAATTGACCATTTCACATTTATTTATAATATAAAATTTAGTTAAATATAATATATGAAAGAGTTTCATAATTAACTAAAGGATAAATAAGAGATCAAAACGTTGTAATTGAGGAACTAAAGGAATACGAGTGCACCCGAGCTCACTCGAGCTCGCCTGAAAGACAAGAACACGCTTCTATCCATAACGTGAGCTTAATATAATAAGAACTCCGACAATATTATGTAAATATACATATGCGGTTTTCATAAATGCTATTGTTGGTATTATTTAATATTTAATTGTATAGATTACAGCGATACAAATATTAAAATTTGTATTTGTATGGGAACATATACAAATAAAAATACCCACAATGAAATATAAATCAGTATAAAGTTATTATTTTTACTTTTCCTTCCCCTTTGTCTGAAAGTATTTTCTGCTAAGAAGAGGGTGGTAAGTGAAAGTTGTGTGATGCGCGCACCGCACCCGATTTTTTTTTATTGATTAATAGTATCCTAAAGTTTCATTCTATATAATCATATAAGTCCCCAAGAGATCCAAGGAGAATAGTTGATGAAGGAGAATATTTCAATAACTATTCTACTTCATTTACCTTTTAAATTGATTTTTAGTTCGTCGAAGATTATAATTAGAAATATTTTAATTTTAGACCTAAACAAAACGTGACTTTTATCTCATAACACACCTAAGTGACGTTCGACAACAATTTCTATTTATTTCCAAAATGGGACATTTTTCCTTTGGGACTGTACCAAGTCCTGGATATCAGCCACTAAATCTTTTAAACACATTTATCCTTTCTCGATTCCTCGACTTTTGAAACCATCTGCTTTGAAGCGTTACACTCGTCAATGACTTATTGAAGTTGTTGTAGGAATTTAAGCATGGGAATGGGAATACGTCATTTTCCCATGGAATCCCCTTTCGTTTGATACCTCATTCATCAAAATCCATCGCTCCTGAGAGCCGGAAAAGGGATTTATACTAATATATTATATGTATACGGTAGGTGATTTATTATCTTCAAAATTATTCAAAACAACAGATAAGTCTTGGTTGTCATTGGTTGCTTGAACGTTGATTTGTTTTAACGTTTCGTTTTTCCTGTAGATCTGTATGCCTTCCATATTGTTTTCCAAAAATATGAGTGAATAAATTCACGTAACACGTCATTGTGAATTTTTTGGTACATTGTTACCTTAATATATGTTATGTCCTTGAGACAGATTGTAATATGTTTCAATAAATAAGTTTAAAAATATATATATGTTAATCTTTTATATTAAAAACGTTATGATGTTATTTAAAAATGAAGCATGACAGATGTATATGCAGCTTATTAGAATGTACTGATTTGTATGGAAAATCTAAAAAGAAATTAAGCAATTTATTAAAACCAAAAATATTACAATTACATCGCGTATTTGGCCCAATTTCGATTGTTGGGTTATTTTTCTTGATATGAATAATTAAATATTTCTCCGAATTTTGACATTTTCATGTCAATTAATATTTGATATGATGTTAATCATACCAAACAATAATACACGAATATAAGTTTGATTGGCATAAATTTACTTGTATCATATATGTATATAATAGTTAAAATTATTATTTTTTTATCTTATGCCTTCTGTCCATTTTATCTTACACCTTCTGTCCATTAACCGTTAACAGTTAATAATACATATTAACTTAATGAACGTATTAGAGCAGATTGATTCTAGGTTGAACAGCTATTTAAACTTTTTTCATTAAGACAGTTATTCGTAAATGTTTTTATTAAGAGATGAAACCTTTTAATACTGTTTTACAACAATCATTGTTAATAATTCCTGTTTCTAGTAGTTCTAGTAGTAGTTGTAGCACTTTTTTGTGGAGTAAGATCGTGTGTTTTTGCGTATGGATTAAAATATCGGACCTGCGAGGGAATTGTTCAGCATTTCATCCTCTCTGTAATGGACTATTATTCGAAATCGTATTTCAACGCGATGCTGTGTTATTGAGGCGAAAAGGGAAAAATTGCGTCGAAAAACAAATGATAAAGAGCTTTATTGAAGAAGTGGATTAAAATATCTGAACATCGGATCTGCATATTGTAAGCTATTATTAAAAATCGTATCTCAACGCGATGCCGTGTCAGAGAACCAAAAAGGGAAAAAATATTGTCGAAACCAAATTACAACGAGTTTTATTGAAGATATGGGTTAAAAGATCTGAGAAATCTAAATATTGGACCTGCATATTGTAAACAAGACATTCTCTTTATAATGAGCTCTTATTTCTAATTTATATTTCAAATTATTAATCTCGCATTGATATTTTCACTTCTATCGTATGGTCTAAAGAATACGCCTTAGTTTTTTGTTTTATTTTATTTTTTATATATATGACGATTTGTATTTATGGATCTTGTATTGGCTCTAGTTATGTCAAGTTAAGTCTAGTTAAGCCAAGTTAAAGAGTCAATGTCTAGTCAGAGATAACATACTATACATCCTTGAAAAAAAATTGATTCCATTACTTTTTCGTAAGCGAGTTTTTCAAAAACTACTGAATTATGAGCGGTTACATTGGAAACTATGCAAGATGGCGAAAAATGAATTGAATAAATTTTGTCAATTTTAATTAGTTTCCTCAATTAAAAAAAAATTAATCAAAACATCAGATTGAGGGTTTTTGGTAAGTATTTTTACCTCATAACTAGTCCAAGCAAAGACCGAAGTAAAAAATTGTGTTCCTTCTATTTTCCTCCACATCCTCTTTAAAACATCCATTGACTGGAATAGTAGTCGAATCCATATGACGGATATGTCCTTAATTAGACTATTGTCGTTGTATGGAATATGGAATATTTTATTTCTAAGATTATGTCAGATTCTATGGTTCGCCTAGGCTTATATTTATCCTTGATAAGACTGTATTGGAGGGTGGGATGGTCGAGCGGGCTAACACAGCACCGCGTTGCCCGTCAACCTGATACGAGTTCATGTACCGGTACCAGGGAGGGGAGAGGACTTTTAGCTCTGGCATTAATCCTTTGCCCTCACTCCCTTCAGCTTCTGTTTTAATTTCCATGAATAACGACACCAAGGACCCATCTGTATTCGAAATTTAGATTTATGTATCGGTGTAAAAAATTTATCACCGAATTTTGGATAGAACAAGTTTTTCTTAACGGTGCACTGTTTTTGAGAAAAAAGTGAAAACCCGTAAACTGGACTTCTTCCGCGCCCTCTACCAATGCTTTCTTACCTCTTCATGCACTCTAATAGCTCCTAATTAGCATTTGAGTGGACTATTAAGTAATCCATATTTCTTTTTTTTTCTCTTTATGGTGGCCTTAAGTTTTAAAGAAAATCCTATTTTGTAGTAATTTATTTTTTCTCTCAAGATTTTAATCAAAATCCTATTTTGCAGTAATGCAGCTTTTATATGTCTTACGATTTTTATGTTTCTATCTGATTCGAATCGTATTGTGGAATAACAAGTTTACTTATTTCTTTTGGACATTAAAAACAATATTATTACAGTAAAAAACAAAATTTATTTGAGAATGGATGTAAACAGTAATGAAGAAAATTTACAAAAGGAGGAACTTATACTTAATAATAAATACATATATACAAGTTGCTATATTTAGTTTTGCATTTAGGTTTCTTCTTGTTGTTTCCCGCATGGTCTTAGGGTTTCTTCCTTTCCTGAAAGCAACTTCTCTTCCGGATAGGGGCAGAGGGTAGTACTGTAAACAGATTTAATTATTTTATTTAAAAAAAAATTGACATATTATTTATCTAGCAACAGACTAGTAATAACGACTACATTAAATGCTAAATACTTTGTCGTCATATGAATAATAACATCGCCTTGCTCATATTTGAAGAAAATGAGTTAGGTAACTATCTGGGTTCATTCTCTTCATGCTGTATCGAATGATAACTAATCATGAATATTTCACATATATGTTCCCAAACGTTTCAATGTCAGGAGCCTATTTGTATTTGTATAGCCTATGTTGTGTAGGCCTATTTTGCGCCTGCTTTCAATTCCAAATTTGAGATAGGGTGTCCTCTTTTGGTGATCTCTGTTTCCGAGATCATATCTTCTTATCGCAGCTATCGAGGATAGGCCATTAAGAGGTTTGACATGATGGAATTCTTCAATGTGTGTGGCACGTGACTTTCCTTACCATTTCTGGGAAAAATAAATAAATGGTGTCTGCTAAAATTGGCCGCTTAATATATTTTTTCGCTTGAGAAATATAGACAATATCTATTGTAAGTTTTCAAGTAATAAAAAAAAAATCAAAAGCGATTAGCTTTGGAGTACAATGTGTGTAAAACTTTTAAAACGCAAATGAGCATATATATAATCTTTAAGGAAGTTCCATTAAAGTCGTTTAGGCAAGGCACTGCGAAACGCAGGTTTTTTAGCCTCCATTTTGAAGCGGAAAGTAAGATCGTAATCAAGTTCAGAGGATCATCCTTGAGTGACCTCTTATTTGATAAAAAATCTCAAAACAATCGGCCTTGTAGCCTCGGAAGGCGTTTGGCGGATGGCGGGCGGACAAATTTTGTTTATTCGATTTTTGGATTCCACGTTTCTTGAAACGTAAAATCTCAAAATTTGAGGCAGAGTTAACTTTTTTTCAAATTCTTTTTTTCTTAATCTTATTTTTCTTAATCGATAAAAAGGCTAGTTATTGAAAATAGTAAACCAAAGTGAAATTTCTTTAAAAAAAATTATATTTTTATATGTAACTAACTCGTTAAGTTCCAAAGAATTCTTCCGATGTTTACCATTCGTAATTACCTATTTTAATTATAATTTAACCTGAATGCGTTTATACAGTGCACAATTAATATCTACGAATATAGATACTGTGGACCTGAATGAAATACCTGGAATCCTCCTCTAAGCTGTCAATAGTGACGTTACCCAAGTAAATAGTTGGGTGCACTATTCTCCAGGTGAGGATGTTGAATGTGGTGTCGTGCCTCCAGTACAAGAAGGCACTTCGGATCCTGCCTATTTGGCTAGCCCCAACCACCTGCGTGTAGGAGTTCCCTGGCTTGAAATACTGCTCTCTGTAATGGAAATAATCGAAACTATTAACAAACAAGTATAATGATTGTGCCGATTAGTTAAATGTTAATTTACAATTTTAAAGAAATGTTTTGTAAATAAACACAATATAATAAAATATAGTGAAAAAGTGTATATATTTATCTATAGAAAAACATTTAAATATACTAAATTTTGAAGAAATTAGGCGAAGCTGTAAATTTGGCTTTACAAAAATAATGGCGAGTACATTATAGTGAACAGAATAAAAAAATAATTTCAATAGCTAATAGATCATATATATGTATTATTCCAGGAGTTTAAAGTAAATGAATGAGTACTGAGTATCAAGTATTTTACTCAAATACTGACCTTTTTTGATTATCTAAGAATTTAATTACTACTTCAGTTGTTGTCAAACGATTAACAGATGTAGTGATTGGATTCCCAATTGCGATTTAATTTGAGTAAAATACTTGGCACTAGGTACTCACAGTAGCATTTGTCCATCCCTGATTTTCCCTTACTCGTCCCTCTACGCACCGCCACTATTTGGGAGAGGATAAGTGAAGAGAGTTATATCCTACACGTGACGGATCATGACAGCGGGATAAAAGATGCCATTGGTAGCCGCGTGATACGTCACACTTCTTCTACTGTTAGTCCTTTCGCCTTAGAGAATCCTTAATTATACAAGAGGGAGGTAAGGATCTAAAATTAACGTAGTATAATATGAGAATAATCACAAATCCATTTGACTCTCCCCTTTTGTTTTTCAAAATAAATAGAGTCGATATACATTTCATTAGCCTTTAATACTGAGGATGTGATAAACTGGATCCAGCAAATGCAAGATGAAGGGTTTGCTGCCACACGAGCTCACGTTAATTGTAGCGTTTCCATCACACGTGGACTAGGTTTCTATGAATGAGAGAGGAAGGGGGCAATATATTTATATATTATTTCTCGATGGTATTTGTGTTGTCCGTACGCCGTGTCTTCGTTAATTATTCATCAAATCCAACGACTGAGCCATAATTTTGAAAACTTCCTTCTCTTTCATGTGGAAAAAATTGTCATATCATCCCGAAATATCTGGCATAAAGGTTATGAAGAGAGAGAGGAAAAAAAAGGTTTGTGACCACACGACAGAAGTTAAAACATCAACAAGGCGAGATACATAATATGAAATATAAATGATAAATAATAGCTCATTATAATTAAAGAATGCAGGTCTGATTTTTAGTTTCCGAGATATTTTAATCCATATCTTTTATAAAACTCGTTATCATTTGGTTTTCGACATCAATTTTTCCTTTTCGCCTCTCCAACACGGCATTGCATGGATACAATTTTGAATAATAGTCCAGTAAAGAGAGGATGAAATGCTGAACAAACCCCTCGCTAATAATAATAAATTTTATTTGTTTTTGGGCGGACCAATACAAATGATGTTATGTTTGTATTCATGAAATCAAATTAAATACATTAATAGCATTAATAGAACCAGTAAAATAAAATAATTATGTTTGATACAATTATAAACTATATTGAATAAACTAACATATAATGTTATGGGATAAAGTCCTAATATTATTATTTACATATAATCTTAACCATAAACTGAATCATAAAACTATTCATTCTTGAATAAACATAAAAAGATTCCTTAATTTTAAACAATCTTCGACATACCAGTATAAATCATCAAATTCATATTTGTTTTCAGTATGTAATAATTTTACTATTTGTTCTTTATCGTTAGAATTACCAACAATAAATTTACTTAAATACTTACTTCTAAAAGCCTCATATGTACAACATTGCTACAAAAAATGGTATAAATCTTCTGGTTCATGTGTATTACAAATTGGGCATTCAGCGCTCCTATCTAGAAAACTATTTTGAAAAGCCTAATAAGTAATTTTTAAGTTCTCCGGTTGGCACAGTCTTAGTTGGCTAACCATTCTATGCTTTCTTATTGGTCCCTTAGTTTTTAGATAATATTCACCTTTAGTAAAGCTACTAATTTTTCTAAAGTTTTGATTGAATTTTGAGTTCAATATAGATTGAATATCGAGGGAAAATTTATTACATTTTAACTTTTCAATAACATTTTTACATTCCCCTTCAAATAATTCTTTATTTTTAATGTTTAATAATTCAACCGAGTCTATTGCTCTCAGCATATTTATCAATTGTTGGTACCAATTATATTTTGCATTAATTAAATAATTAGAGGGAGGAATGTTTCCTCGCTAACAATAAGCAGGTCCGATTTTTAGTTTTTGAAACATTTTAATCCATATACAATAACAGTTCAATTAGTCTACTCAAGCCGAATTTATCCTAGCGTTAACACATCGGAAATCTGACGAATCAATCTAATTCGCTCTCCACAAAAAATTGCAAAACGCGCCTAAAGAAGTTTTTACTTCAAAAGAGTTAATTTGCGATTAGCTCAAAAAGTATATATTTTATGATCGTTTGTATCGAAGATTATTTAAAAAATTTCTAATTTTCACTACAAAAAAAAAAAAAAAAAAAAAAAAACGCTGCAAATTATTTCACAATGGTTTATTATTTCCCAACAATTATACATCTAAAGCAACATTACCTTTCTAGTGACAAATTAAAAGAAATAAAAAGGTAATTCCAATTATTTGTCTAAACATTTTTTTTTCATCATTACTAATTTGCTAAAAAAAATATCATTACTTAAGCAACACATTCAAAAATCAATTAATCAATTATTAATAATCAAGTATTTGCAACATACAACATAAAAAATATCTAGAGACCATATCTTTGCTCCTAATTTTCCGATTTTAACGATTTTTTTTAAAGAAAATTTCATCAACTTTTAAAAAATCCTATAAAATTTATCACAATATCACAAAAAAATGTATCTTTTTGAGTTATCGGAATCTAATTTTACCATCCCTCGTAACTTTTTTTCCAGCTTCTTTTCGTTGAAGTATGTTATATAGATAAATTTAAAGGGCATCAAGAAGAAGACTTTAGCCAAGTTTTATTGAAATCGGTACATTCGTTTAGACACTACAGTCTATAGCAACACAGATTTTTCGGCCGCCATTTTGAAAGTAAAAGGCGGATAGTAATGTCGATGAAGGAGATCATCCTCGGGTGACTTCTGATTTTATATCCAAATTTGAAAAAAATCGGTCAGGTAGTTTCGGAGAAAATGCGCGGTCGGCGGACGGACAAAAACATGTTTATTTTTTTTCGAATTTTATGTATCCTGAAACATATAATCTCAATTTTTGTGAGGGAGTTAAGTTTTTGAATTTTTTGTTCGATTACAACGGTTCATTATTGAAAATAATAAACCAAAATATCGAAACGTGACCATTATTGTCAAAAATACAGCAAACATGAATGTAATGTAATACGAATTGTAATGTTGTTTTAAAATAGAATGGTTTTTAATTAATTTCCTTTTTCTTGGGCAGCTTAAATTAAGGAGGAAAAGAGAATTGATTTCTCCATCTTATAATACGTTGTATCGAATTATTTTCTTGTCATTTATTCGTCAAGATCAATATGAAAATTATTGAGGAGTTATTTGAATGAGGACGCAAGATCAAAATGTGGACGTTTTTATTTATATATATTGTTAACACGATGACAGCTAACATCAAATCAATAAAAACGTATTTTATGGGCAGAAATAAAAAAGTTTAATTAAATAAAATTAATTTTAAGCTGCGTCTATTTTATTTTTCGTAACCGGTCCCCTAAATATAATTGGTTATTTCAGTTTGGAGATATAACAAAATGATAAGTGATTTTCACATTAATAATACTTGTTGCTTATGCCAGTGTTTTGTTTCTCCAGCAACAAATATACTTGACCAATTTTAATTAAATTAAAAAAAAAACTTGAATTTGTAAGAATAGCTTGATTTTTGTTGGGATAATGGAGTCTGATATTTTTTTCAAATTACAGAAAATTATTAGTTCTCCGCATAGAACTAAATTATTTTAAGTTCATTTATTCTAATTTCCAACGATGCTGACGGATCCTGCTAAGAAGTTCAATGCTTTATTTAATTATTAATAATTTCAATAAATTATTTAAATAATAATATTGTTAGAAAGACTATTTCTATATTTGTTTATTCAATGTAAGTCTTCCGTACCTTACATGTTCTTTTCTTGTCTTTTCTGATCGTATCATTTATGTACTTGAGATAGCTTGGCATGTATTTATTTATTTATTTTGCTTTGGGCATACCTTCATTTGTCCTCAAAATCGAAAAATCTGATTCTAGCTAAATTTAAGTTCTTAGTGTATTGAGCTTGGATTGGTTAGATATTACCTTGAGCTTGGAGGCATTATATATGTTATTTGTTACAATGTTATATGTTGCATTTCGATTGCTTCAGTTTCTTTGGTTATACTTATAAGAGTTCGGAAAAAACATAGAAAATGACGTTTATAATCATAAAAGAAAATAACTGTAGCGACTTACTTGAATAAATCGACCATGCTGGTGGTCCCTTTTATTCCTATGATTTTTATCGAGAACATTCCAACTTCACCTCCATGGTTCAGCGCGTCTTTGGAACCAGACATCCTGATAGTAACTCTATAAAGTGCCTCTGAAATCAGAAATACTTTATTAGTTTTGCTTAGACATAATTATATTAATTACTAAATTTAAAGTTATTTACAGATTTTACAATAAATAACAACTAAAACGAGACTGTATAACATATCCTGTTGCTAAAATCTTTTTACGCGTGATGAAAAAAAAATGTTTTCTCTCTATTTTTATTTGTAACTGTATTATTGTTTTTTTCTTTCTGATTGTTTGTGGATGAAATTATTACATGATTGTTTATTAATACCATTTATTATAATGTGATATTAATAATTTGGATTTCATTATTCATGAAAGTATTCACATGATTTTTTATTTTTAAACTAAAAATATTAATATATAAATATAGCCAGTAGCGGATCCAAGAATTTTATGAGGAGCTCCGTAACTTTTATTAATTTAAAAAAAAATATTCTGCAAGTTTTTCAAATTAATTTTTTTTTTTACCTTTTAGGAGGAAGGGGTATGGATTTATTTAGAAATAAACAGTAGTGATTTCTGAATCGCTTTTTGAAATTAATCTCTTTAAGAATACTTGTTAACCTCCGCCCCCCCCCCCCAAAAAAAACGATCGGGGGTCTAAATATGTCATTAGTCGATTTTGTTGTTAAATTTGATGTAAATATGATCTTTTCGTTGTTAATCTTTGTTATGTCATTTCACAGTTTATGTAGAATGGTATACCCGATTCCCTTATCACTTCCTCAATTATCCATTACTTAAAGAGAAATCTAATTGAATATAGGGAAACTGAAAATTCAGTACGGTAAATTCTACTATAAATGAGCAATTGTATGTATCGTTAAAAACATAATCCTTTTCATTAAATATATAATTTAAAACTAAATAGAGAAAAACCAATACGTAGCTATGCCGATCCTGAAAGTAAGAATTTAATTCCTACAATTCCTTATGAATTTGAAGCAATCGCCGAGGTTCAAAGGGAGAAACAACTTTTTTGGTTTTAGTAAAGCACATTTGGGTCGAAGAAAGACTAGCCAAGTTGTATAATAGTCGAAAGAATTTAAATAAAGCATAATTTTATTTTAAATTTATTTAAAATTGGAAAAAAAAATATCTTTATAAAGATATCAGAATGGATACTCCTATAAACCATTTTTTTATTTGGTTGACCCCGTCCCAACTATACGAATTTCACCTCTTATCGTACCTTGTGCCTTTGGTTATGCTAATAACCGCTAAAGTAATTAAAATACAATTGTTTTGCCACAACTAGCGAATTTCGTTTTTAATTTCTTCATTCTTAATTTTTCTTATTTAAAAAATTAAAGAAGTTTTTTTTTTTTTTTTTTTTTTTTATATGTATATTTGTTTATTTAGAAATATTACATTCTGTCACATCAAGGACATTTATAATAGTGATCAGAGAAAGCACACTCACACTCTATTTACAATAAAAAAAAAAAAAAATAATACAGAAACTTAAAATAATAAATACAATAAAATAAAATAAAAATAAATAAAATAAAATAAAATAAATGTATATAAACAAAAGAACTAACCTAATCATACACACTAGGGCTTGAGTGGAGGATCTGGCCATTGCCAAAACTCCAATAGATGCTTATTTACAAAAGGTCTCTGGGCCACTGCCGCTTCAACCTTCGAGGAGGATTGTAAGGATGGGTGGTGCTGGATAGAGATTGTGCAAGGGGATTTGGATGATAGGTAAGGTTTTGGTGAAATTTGGAGAATTTTTCTGGAATAAGGTCTAGGACAAATGGGATATTAAGGTCATGGTGTAGGATTTTGTTATTTACATAGAACGGAGCATCAACTATTGTTCGAAGGACTTTAGATTGAAAGGATTGAATACGTTTGATGTTAGAAGCTTTTGCTGTCCCCCACAGTTCAAGTCCGTATGTCCATATAGGTTTCAATATTGTCTTGTAGATAAGTAATTTGTTTTCAATAGAAAGTTTGGATTTTCTGTTTAGTAGTCTGTATAGCTGGCCGTATCGTCGGTTGAGTTCTTGTCTTTTGAGTCTAGTATGTGGGTTCCACGTTAGTCTTCGGTCTAAATGAAAGCCAAGATACCGGACTGTGTCTGAGTAAGGAAGCTGGATGGAATTAAAGTGTACTGGTGGACAGGAACTGCGTCGGAGTGTAAAGGTAATATGTTGGCATTTAGATTCATTAACTTTAATGCGCCAGTTATTACACCAGTGCTCAATCAAGGTGAGGTGGTTTTGGAGATTTAAGGATGCTATGTTGGGATCAGAGTTGGATGATAAGATTGCGGTGTCGTCAGCGAATGTTGCAAGAAAAGTATCGGGATGAACAGGGATGTCAGCAGTAAAGAGAATGTAAAGCACGGGACCCAAGACGCTGCCTTGGGGAACACCGGCTTTAACGGAGTAGATATTGGAAAATTCTGTTCCACAGCGAACTCGGAAGGAGCGGTCAGAGAGGTAGGATCGGAGGACTAGGTACAAGGACTGAGGTAAATGGATTTTAAGCTTGAAGAGCAGTCCGGAGTGCCATACCCGGTCAAATGCCTGTGCAATGTCCAGAAATGCACCCGAACAGTATTCCTTGTTTTCTAGGGCTGAGGAAATATGATCAATAACTCGGAGTCCTTGTTGAACAGTAGAATGTTGGGAGCGAAAACCAAACTGATGGGAAGGAATATTTTGGGATTCTATAATGGGTAGGATTCGTTTCAAAAGGATCTTTTCAAAAATTTTTGAAAGGATTGGGAGTAGGCTAATTGGTCTATAGGATGTTGAGATATTGGGAGGTTTGCCTGGTTTTTGGAAAAGGATAATAGTGGAGTGTTTCCATAGCAGAGGAAAGTGGGTGGTGCGTAGGATACAATTCTGGGATAAAACAGTATTTTAGACTATTTTATCTGGGTAATAAAATTTCAACAAACAAAATTACTATCCCGGTAAATACATTTTGTTATATAAATAATAATTATTAACGTTTTTCTTTTTATGGATTTAATAAACAAAAATTCAAAAAAAAAAAAAAAAAAAAATGGAAAAATATATATATATATTTTATAGTTTTTCTTTTTATGGATTTAATAACCAAAAATTCAAAAAAATGGAAAATATATTTAAGAAAAACAAGTGCCTTTACCATATAGAAATAATAATTGCGAAGGCAGTAAGAGGGGTGTACAGGAGGGGAGGGCGCAGTTGTGGCAAACCTCACTATGGGGAATCCTTGATTGTGACAAATGTTGTAAAAATATTGAACACTGCCATTCTACGCCAAGGTAATTTCTTAATAAAATTGATAAATAAAATTCATCCATCGTCATCCAATTAATCTTTATTTGTCATTTATTATGAATTCCTTCCTATCATCATTCAACATACTGTAGTGTAATAATTAACTCTATTAGATTACAATTACTGTAGTCCATGATAATTTTTTTATTGGAAAATTACTTAAATTATTTAATATAAAATAAATAATATTTAAAATCATTTAAATAATGACTAAATTTGAAATGAAAGTATGTTTGATCGAAGTGCTATCATAAGCCATAAGTTGGTCAGTTGGATGGAGGAGTTGCCACTAGCCCCCAGGCATCGGAATTATAAATCGTCGGTTGTGTTTAAGTTAGTAAGTGCTATGAATGGTTTCAAGTCCATTATCGCCAGGCCCAGAGGTATCTGTTGTCCCGAGGCAAGTCTATCTACGATTTTCGTCAAGCAAGTTTCTCGATTTTTAGAGATAACCATCGTGTATATAAACATAAAACCTAAAATACTCAAGTCATTTAGGGTATCCTGCAAGCACTAATAGTTATATTTTTTTATGTGTTAAGAATTTTTATTCCTATTAATATAGTATCAGTACTCTATTAGTATCATAATCTCAGGTGTTATCATTTACATTGTGAAATGTTTAACTTAATTTGGAAAAGAAAAAGCTCAAAAGATACATTAATAAATTGGAAGAATATAACCGGGAGATTACAAACACAGAGTCAAATATCTGGTGTGTCCCAAGTCCCCCCTTACACGACTTTCCTACCGATTATAGAAAATTTTTTAAAAAATTAAACATGTGGCTTAAAAAAAAAATTGAAATAGATTAATTATCCTGAAAAACTGATCAGAGATATAATTATAGTACGATTTCTTTGATAAACTAAAGCAATGTATACACTTTTTTTTAGAATTTGTTTATTGAAAAAAATTATAATCTGTCTCAAAGCACATTTATAATTGTGTTCATAGATCACATTCACACTCCGAGCCAGACTTGTCCCTCCAACTGTGGAGGAGATCCCTGCACTACTCTCTCAGCCGCGTAACTGGGGCTAAATCCAGGGGAGATTGACCGAGAGCATTTTAGCCACTCATATACACTCATGTCGTCAGCGGAGAATCTGGCCATTGCCAGAATTCCAATAAATACAAACTATAAAATGTCGCGGGGCCACTACCGTTTTAGCCTTCTTGGAGGATTATAGGGATGGGTGGTGGTGGATAAGGATTGTGCAAGGGGATTCGGATAATATGTAACGTTCTGATGAAATTTGAAGAATTTTTCGGGGATAAATGTGATATTAAGGTCATGTAGGGTTTTATGGGTTACATAGAATGGAACATCAACTATTGTTCGGAGTACTTTGGACTGAAAGGATCGGATGCGTTTGATGTTAGAAAATTTAGCTGTCCTCCAAAGCTCAAGTCCGTAGGTCCAAACAGCTTTTAGGATTGTGTTGTATATCAGTAATTTGTTGTGAATAGTAAGTTGAGATTTTATATTGAGGAGTCTGTATAAATTCCTTATGATTAAGGACTTTTTTTTTTTTTTTGTTACCTTACTAGTTAATAAACCTAAAATGTTTCATGATTTGTACAACCTGCTGTACAGAGGTCATTTATATCTTTAATTTAACTATTTTCTGACTACAGCTATCGTTCTTGTTTTGACAAATGTTATATTACTCAATAAAATAATTTCAAGAAACAGGAATTTCTAATTGATGATGTTAAAATGGAAATAATTACATGGATATGGATCAATATGGCAATGTTTAAATACAAGATTATAATAAGTTATTTAGGGAAATATTATTTGAAATCACTCACTGCAATAAAATGGTTTCTCGTCAGTGATGGTGTAGAGCTTGACCATGCTGGTCGGCAGGACTGGGAACATGCCGGTGGTAACAGATCCCATTTTCTGCACCGTCCGTATGGAGTTCAGCCCCAACTTGGAGCACAGCCTTCCCTCTGGCCTCTGCAATGGTCAACAATCATTAAACATCAAATGATGAAAGGAAATATTACCATATTTATATGTGTTTTTTTGAGAACAAAGTGCTTATTATCGATTAACGAAATTAATGCCCGTTTAAAGAGAACATTTATTTTAAAGAGAAGCTAAACCTTTATTGATATAATTTGTTGCAGATTTATCAGTTCAGAAACCCTTTCTATTCCATTGTTAGCATCTTTTCCTTTAAACTTCATATATTTTGCGATAGTCGTATTTCGCAAATCTCCAAGCGTTATTTCTTGCTCATTGATTACATACAAGAATAATAAATACAGAGCGGTGCCAATTTAAGCAATCATGTAAGTTCTTTCCGATAAAAGCAAGGCTGGAAGATACGGAATAATTTTGACTTTTTTTTGCTTATAATCATGATTGCTTTGGAATGGACATATCTTGTTATAGATGAAAATAGAAGACAATGATTATCCTAGTCACTAGGATCTAGTGCATGGATATGCTAATTCCTATGATGCCGTCATTTTGCGTTATGATATCTGATGAGAGAAATATGTTATCGTTTGGTATCGAGTCTTTAGCATTTTATCTTATAAGCCATACCAAAACAAGGTGCTTATTATGGTATAAGGAATTACGAAATTGTATGCCTTTCTGAGTCAAGTAAACCTTACCATTCCAAAGAAAGCAATTTAAAAAATGATGATGAAGCTTTTAATTTGTTTTATTTGTATATATATTTGTGTATTGGGTGCAAACATGTGAAAATCGAAAATGTAAACACGGGCTACTTTGGGTGAACTTTTGGCAGCCAATAAACCTCAAATTATTAGGTTATTCTTCGCCTATAACTCCTGAATGGTGCATCCTCCTGAATAGGCTGCTCTTAACAAATTAAAGCAAATTAAGTTTGGCGCCAAATGAATACTAAGACTTAATAGTTGTACGTTGTACCTATGGTGGAAAACTAAACATTTTTACCGATTTTTTTAAAAACAGAAGTTCAATAGTCTGTGTGTGCTAGCTTTCCGTCCCGAAATTACTGTTAGAAAATAATGTGCCGAACAGAATATTTGAATTTACTAGCCATTAATGAATACGCTAACATTAGGACAGCATCTGATCTATTGCGAATCTCTTACGTGGACAAACACGAGGAATAACACAATGAATGTTAACTAGTTTAGCAGGCGGCTCAACTCACACGTTTCAAGTTCAAATTTAGAGAAATATTCAGTATTATGTATTATATCCTCTGATTTTTTTTTGGAACGTATTACTTTCACTTACCTATATGAAATATATATATATATATATATATATATATATATATATATATATATATATATATATATATTTAATCTATTTATTGAATAATAATACAATCAGCCACTGCTGGAGGGCTGTAAGTATTAGAGCTAAGAGTTCTCATTCATACAATATGTACACATAATAGAGAAATAAATATAAATATAAAAAGTAAATAAATAATACTGATGAATAAAGTAAATAAAAGAAAAAAAAAGTAAACAAATAACATAAAATAGAAACTTCTAAACACAATCATACCTATATACAATAAACACATTCGCCCAAGAATCTCCGAGCCAGGCTTTTTCCCCCACATGTGGAAGGCAAAGCAAGACTCCAGGAGATCCCAGTGCCACTTTTCCAGCCGCATCACTAGTATTAGAAGCCAGTGGAGACTGAAAGATTTGAGAAGGTTGAAAGATTGAGCTAGAGGATTTGGATGATGGATAAGGTTCTGGTGAAAGTTTGAGAATCTGGATGGGATGATGTCGAGGACAAATGGGATGTTAAGGTCATGGTGTAGGGTCATGTTTTTGACATAATATGGGGCATTGACTATTGTTCTGAGTACTTTGGACTGGAAGGATTGGATGCGTTTGATATTCGAATGTTTAGCAGTTCCCCACAGTTCAAGTCCGTAGGTCCAGATAGGTTTCAGTATGGTCTTGTAGATTAAAAGTTTATTTTCAATCGAAATATGGGATGTCCTTCTTAGTAATCTGTACAGTTGGCCATATCGTCGGTTAAGTTCTTGTCTTTTAAGTCTGGTATGTGGGTTCCCAGTTAGTCTTTTGTCAAGAAGGAAGCCAAGGTAACGGACTGTGTCTGAGAAGGGAAGTGGAATTGAATTTAAAAGGATTGGCGGACAGGATCTGCGTCGCAGGGTGAAAGTGACATGTTTGCATTTTGATTCATTGATTTTGATGCGCCAGTTGTTGCACCACTGCTCAATCAAGGAGAGATGAGATGGTAGGTTTAGAGATGCTATTTGAGGATCTGAGTGAGAGGATAGAATGGCAGTATCATCACCAAATGTAGCTAGAAATGTATCGGGATTTGAAGGGATATCGGAAATGAAGAGGATGTAGAGAACTGGACCCAAGAAACTGCCTTGTGGAACACCAGCCTCAACTGGATAGTAAGTGGAGAATTCGGTGTCACAACGGACTTGAAAGGAACGATTTGAGAGGTAGGATTTGAGGACTAGGTATAAGGATTGGGATAAATGGGTTTTGAGCTTGAAAAGCAAGCCATCGTCCAGATACGTCCAGAAAGGCACCAGTGCATATGAAATATATAGTTAAGGAAAATACTGGGATCGTGAAAATTTTCAAATCTCAGTTTTCAACGGAAATAGAAGTTTCGAGGTTCCAGTTCCGCAAAATGGTCTCTATGTGTGTGTGTGTGTGTCTGTGTGTGTGTGTGTGTGTGTGTTAACAGTCTAGCTCAAAAACGAAAAGTCGTAGGAAGGTGAAATTGCATATTTTATGTTTTTATATGCTTGAGATGTTACAGCAACGTTTTTGTCAAAATTGGAGAACTGGAAATGCCACTTTATGGACTTTAAACATTTTTACGATTTTCTCGAAAACGGATCAAACGAATTTGATTAAATTCATTATATCACTGTAAAATTAAGCCGTTTTAAATAAAATTTAAGTTTTATTCAATTATTAAGTGGTATTTTATTAAATGGCTAATTTTCCATATTACCTTTCTCTTAAGTATCTTTATTTATTTTTTATTTGAAACAATTGGACATTTCACATTGACCTCTAATATAAAAGATAGTTAAATATAAAATATGAACGAATTTTATAATTAACTAAAGAAGAAATAAGAGATCGTAACGGAGAATAGTTGTAATTGAGGAACCAAAGGAATACGAGCGCGCCCAACCTCACCCGAAAGATTAGAAAAGGCTTAAGAAGAAACGTAACATGAGCTTAATATAATAAGGACTCCGAAAATAATATGTACATATGCATATGCTATTTTCATAAATACTATTGTTGGTATTATTAATTATTTAATTGCAGCGATATAAATATTAAAATTTGTATATATAAGGGTACTTGTGTAATTAAAAATACCCACAATGAAATATAAATAAATATAGCGTCTATGATTTTTACTTTCACTTCTCCTTTGTCTGAAAATACTAATTTATGCTAAGAAGAGATTGGTAATTGAAAGTTGTATGATGCGAGAACCGCGTAAGATTTTTAAAAATGAAATTTAATAGTTGCCAAAACTTTAAACTAAAGTAAATTTTTTAATATTTTTTGTTCATAATCCGAAATAATGGTTGAAAATTGTTGAAAAGAAATAACAGTTTAAAATTAATAGATTGTTGATTAATAATTCATCTCTCCTTAATGGAAAAATGATGAACCATCTCGAATGAGGACTTTGTTAGAGGAAAAACAACTTCAATTTAGATTTTTTTCCCTCGTTTAATATTTCTTACTTACTGCTTTATCTTATTAGCTTTTATTAAGAGATGTTCCTTTAATCTAAAGGTTTTACTTCTTTATAAATTATTGTATTTTCCCTTTAATCCTTTTTTTCTCCATTCACTGCTTACTAGAAAAATGTCTGAAATAATAAATCAGAGGATGATAGACCCAAGACTTGATGCTTTGCCTACATCAAACCTCCTTCCTTTTGTAGGTCCCCACTTCTGATAAGAACAATAGGTGCTATCCGTCGTGGTTGAGAGAGTGCGAGCAGTTAACATGCACTATGCAGAATACACCATGCACCATGCACCAGCTATTGCGTACCTGTCACCTCCGATTACTGAATGCTCACACGGCTGGATATTGCACGCTAACTGAAGAGGGGATTCAATAACCGGGAGAGTTTAATCGAACCAACGATGTACGTTGGACGATTATTGGTCATTTGATTTTCTGTCATGATTCATAAATGGGTAATACGTTTTTACATTATTATCTTATGATAAATATCTATTCTATGGATATCATGACATCTATAGATTATAATAAACCTTTTAAAAAAATTCAAATAGTTTATCATCGGCACCATGTTAAAGTAACGAAACTTAACCTTTTCAACGTTGCACATTCTTTACTTTAACATAGTGGCGAAGATCGTTACTTTAACATTTGTTGTGACTTTCTAAACGACTTTCTTTATCGTTTCTAGGTAAAGTCCAATATTGTTTGCTATTGTTTGCCTGGTTAAGATTTATTAAAATCTTTTTTTTTTTTTTTAATTTAGTCGCGGTGTTTATTGAGTAAGAAGGAATTGCTGAAAAAATGATCATGATAATTGAATTCGAATTACACCATCGTAAAGTAGCAAATATTTTTTTTAGAAAACAGTGATTAAATTTAGTAGGGTCAATGATGAAAGGGACTTTCAGGGACTTTCAATCGGACGGCCGATTCACTGTTGCAGTTACAGAACCCATACCCGAGCGGCATGCCTCTGTAATTCCGATTCGTGAAATAATTTCGGCATTTGTGAAATGGTAAGCTTTGCCATATTCAACCTCCTGAAAGTCCCTTTTACCATTGATGTTAGTAAAATTAATCACTGTTATAAAAAAAAAAATGTCTAATTTACGGTGGTGTACCTAGAATTTAATTATCTTGAACAGTTTTTTAGCGATTCCTTCAGAATGTGACACCTGTAAGAAAAACACAAAATTGTTCTTAACTACTTTTCCATTTGGAATCGTCCCATGCATCAAATGAACTTTTTTATTGTTCTATATTCGTCCCCAAACCCCATTTTTATATATATATATATATATATATATATATATATATATATATATATATATATATATATATATACATGTAGATAGATATGTGTACTTAATTAGAAACGTCGTATATTTGCTAAAACTAGCACATTTTTATTGGTTTGTGGATTTTTGAGGAGGGACATATATTTAATGTTTTATGAATTTTTAGAGAGAACCATATTGATAAATGAACCTTCAAATTAATAAGCAAAGAAAGATACTAAACTGTTATTTTCAGAATTTTGCTTTCATTCTTACCACTAGCGGATTCAGGATTGAATTTTGGAGGGGGCTTCACCCCGAAAGATTTTTTTTTCATATGCATATAACGATAATTAATTTGAAAAAAAAAGAGAAATTAACTATCTATATGAAATGGTGTTTAAGTGGTTCTTGAAGTCCTATTAAATGTAATTACACGAACAAGAATACTTTAAGAGATAGTTTTTAATATTTGTTTCTGTAAAACATGGTTATATTTTACCATTTTGGAGGGGGGGGGCTTCAGCCCTAAAGCCCCCCCCCCCCCGTAAATCAGCCTGTGATTCTTAAAAGAAGAGAGCAATACATTTTCTTGGGGGACGGATAGGACGGCTACCATCATCGTCCGTAGGAGGGGATGGACACCTCTAGTTGAGTCTGCTGCAATATATACAAAAACTTTATTATGATATTGGCGCCCAATCTAAAAAAACAATCGTCTTTTTTTTCTCGGAGAAAAGCCACAGGAGTTTTTAAATTCAATTTTAAGACTTTACTTATCTTGAAACACAAAAATTCAAAATTTGAGTTGTGTTAAATTTTTTTTTCAAGGTTTCATTACTGAAAATAATACATGTTTAGCAAATGTATTTAAATACATTTAGGAAAGAAATATCCTTTTTTCTTATTTTTAGAAAAAGTTGAACTAAGTAAAACTAAAGAAAAAAACATTAACTAACTCTCAAATTAATTTATTATTTTTCTTATCATATAATTGAAAAAAAAAAGTAATATGATTACCGAGGTGGAAGGGTCATTCACTCAAAAGAGACAGATTCAATAAAGTATTGGAGAGGGGTCTCAGAGATAAGTGAATATTACCTACTCATAGATTCAGTATGATGAACGAGTCGTAGAGATCGTGATTCTCTAATATGATCTACACTAACTCACAAATAAAGACAGGAGATGTCTAACGAAAACTTATTGACTTTAGCTCAGTTATGCTTATTTTCCTCGGGTACTGATCAATCGGTGAAAGAGATCTTATTCATGTCTAAGAACCGTGGTATTAGCAACCATTTCTACTAATGATCAGAGTGGGAAGTTTCAAGGTTCCCTTTCGGAACTGCACGAAATAAATACTTTCTGCCGGCTCAGATCAAAACCTAGCCTATATTGCTTATAATTTAGCGCTCTGGAAATATCCCAAAGAACTAATCCTTCAAGGCCTTGGCATCTGTGATACCTGGAATTTAAGGTAAACCTATAGTCTCCTCATAATCTTGAGAGTTCGGCAATGAAAATATTAAAGAAAATTAACAAGGACTCTATTTTACTGCTTAGAAAAATTAAAGTAGAGGTTCGATCCTCGATAGGGCAACATTGAGCTTGTTAACCCTTATATGACCCATCCTTCCTATCTCAGTTAATGTACAGAACGTCATACCCACCAAATATTAAAAAAAAACTTTTCGAAATTAGTTTATGTTCAATATGAATTTATATTTATTATTATGTTAAACCTATTTATTTTATTTCAGTATGTGTATGTAGTATAATTTGCTGGTGTTATAAATAGCTGTTGGAACATATTTAATATAGAAATAAGCCTTTGAGGCGTAAAGGTCTGGTGAGCATTCAGGCTAAATAATATAACATGTAAGCTTACCATTTCGTTGCTGCACCAGAAGCAGTGGCCAGCGGTAAAGTTTTCCCATGAGTCACATTCGATAGCGAGGAACTCGCAGCGGTCTGGTATCGATTCGATGAAGTACTCGTAGCTGCGGACGTGGTCACAGCCGAGGAACCTCCTTATTGCTGAAATAGAGCAGGCCATTGTCGTTAATTAACATCCCCTCTGCAACCTCTAAATTATTATTGACACCGCTCCGACCCCCTTCTTAATAAAGAACGGGAAGTAATTTAGTGTGCAAACATTCATTTTCTCAAAGTTGTATTTTTAGCCTCAATTATACAAGTTGATTTTTTTTTTTTTATCGTTAATTTCATTTCTGGACCGTTTATCGAGGAAGGTAATGAAGGTTTTTTTTTTAATTTTGAACTCTTTATCATTTAACAATGGCTCGTTAGCCATCATGCTTAGAGTTTACGAATGCATCTCTAATTAATATATGTAACACATTCATACATTGACCACTTCTTAAGGATAGGATGGCACTTCTTTAGAGTTCCAAGTCTCTGTTATCCATTCTTCCTCCTATATTTTCTCGATTAATTATAATAGCTCGGCTTTCCTCCCCCACTCTTAAACAGTTCTGGTGGTAGACTTGGGAGTCTTTCGCTAACCATTTCCATTGAGGTTCTATATTCCTTAAATTCATACTTCTGACTTGGTTTGATTCTAATCAGAGTGTGGTCCGAATTGCAATCTGCTCCACAGTATCTTCATATGTATTGTATGGAGTTCTAATATCCCTTGTCTATCAGAACTTGATCAATTTGGTTTTCACAAGATTTGGGGCTTATCCAGGTGTACCTATGCATATTAGCTTTAATTAAATTATGAATCTGTAATATAAATCTTGATAAATGTGCTTGTATCATCGGATGTTTACTTTCCAAATCGAAAATCGCAAAAAGACAATAATTAGGTTATTTATATATTTGAAATAATAATTGATTATAGATATTTATACCAGTAGCCGATACCTTTGAAGAAACTTTCATCCTTGTCCATGTATTCCTTCACACTCTGGTCGCAACCAGGCTGGTTTTCCCCTCCGTTGGGATAGAAGTCCAGATGTCCGACGGGTTCGTCCATTCCCAGTCCTGTAGTCACAAATTATGGTTACTGATAGATCCCAAGTGATAAGAAACATGTCCTTAATCGAATGATTATTTACCTCCTTTAATGAAAGGCGTTGCATCGGTATGTATGACGTCAACGTACAGGGCATCGGTGGGATCAAGCCTGACAACGGGATCGGTCTGTGAAAAGTGTGGCTCAGCTGGGTCCAGAGCTGTTAAATTAATTAACATTAATATATAGTAAATATACTAAATAGTTCTAGTTAATAATAAAATATATAAGATGACTAGCTGGTTACCAAAAAACAAATAAATATTATAATAATAGTATTTATTCAACTTGGGCTAAACGGCCTTCGTACGGAAATGATAACACAACCACATATTGTTATCCGAGAAATATTTTTTATTTAATAGAGTGTTGATTTTTTATTGTAAATAATAATAAATGATGCATCTATTTTGACATGATTTCCAAATGGTTTTCTGATGATGAACCATTCCTTCCTGTTGTGTGTCCCTTCACCGTGGGTATTGTGAAACGAACTGCTACTTCCTGACAGATACCCGGCTGCGACATCCTTTAATAAGATTTAAGTTCAACGATAATTGATGTTGAGTCTGGGTTTGATATTTGGTTAAAAAAATAAATCACACGGTAGTACTTCTGCCGTCTAAAGCTTGCAAATAATTGTTTAATATTAGTACAAACAGTTCACGGGCTTAAAAATAATAATATGTAGTTTGATCCGAATTGATTAATCCGTTTTTCTATCAAAAGCAGACAAAATAATGTTTTTATTTTTTTTACAATGCTTTTTTTTTACCTATTGCTTTGAGGATATTTGATTATTGCTTTATAAGAAAGGAAAGCGATTTGGACAAAATAAGTTCAGCCATTTTCCCATGTTGAATGGGAAAACTTATCTGTCTGACAAATAACTATTTAAAAATACAGCTATTTTACCTATAAGATGTTAACATACATTTTTAGCATACCTGTTATTCTTCCAAGAGTAAGATGAAATTTGGTTTTGAGCACGTTCCCTATGTAGCCTGAAAGATGGGCTCCCAACGAATGTCCTATGGAATGACAGAATTCTGTTTTGACTCCAAGGTCTCTCTGTAAGCAAAAACAACGAAACGAATAAATCAGATATGTATCATTGTATGATGTAAGGCAGCTCTTGGGGAGATAGGAATAGGCTCCTGGCTGTCTGGCTATATGGTTAGTCTTCTGTATAAATGTATTCAGCAAATGAGGTAAACTGGTTATTTTGTATAATCACTGGTGGCTATACATAGTTACTGGTAAACTGGTTATTTTGTATAATCACTGGTCGCTATACATAGTTATTATTAAAGTTTTAAACGTGTTAAATTATTGAATATTTATAAAACTAACTAGGGATTTTATTTATTTCAACTCTTAATGTGTTAAATGAACCTACAAACTGAGACAGTACGCAACTTTTGAGTAGGTGCTAGTCAGAAGGGTAGTCTTTCTTTGGCAACAATGGCATGAGAGGCTGTGACAATAACTGGGTCTGAGCTAAAGGCTATTTGGGATCATAGTGGTTTTGACATTCTTACTGCAATATTAACACATATTTATGCAATCATTTTTTTACACAGCCATTCACAAAATGCCGGCATATCATAATCTCTGTTTGATAAAAAATAGGATTTAGTTTATTTAAAATAAAAATAACATGAATCAATTAAATTTAAGTCAGAGATAATCAAAAATAATTTACAGGTGTTGACGATCTTGAAGTTATATCACCTGAAGCCCCAACAAACAAACAAGAATAAATTATTCTCAGTAATATAGAAATGAAGAATTTTTATCGTTTGGCTGTTGGTGAATGATTGGGAAATGACGAATTTTGTAATTTGGATGAATAAAGATCAATATTAGTTTATTGATTCAATCAAGTTCATATTATAAACATTATATTTGCTTTGTATTTTAATAATAGATGGAAGTACACCACCTCCTTCAGCTCCTCAAAGTCCTACTACAGTGGTTAGATTAGGAGATCCGACTGTTGAAGCTGCATTGAAAGACATCAGGCTAACCCTGCAAAGGACCAAAACACTTCCCCTACATTCTCCTACCCAAGAACCTCCTCCTCCAACAGTGGAAGCAAGTTCTATTTGGATTCCAAGGTATTTGTGTCTTCAACATGTATTGTATTAATTCATTCTTGTTTTTGTCTTTTCTTGTATTGTTGTTAAGATCACGGCTGTTGGACTTACGCTTATTGCCAGTTGAGATCAAGGCCTTAACATAAGAGCATTTGTCAGCGGAGATATATCTTTTTCATTGTGAAATATTCAAAAGGTTTCATCACTTAAAAACAGAAAATATGCTGTTGTTAAGGCCTCTACCTTAACTGGCCAATCGAGGGTTTTATTATCTCTCGAGCGGGCAGAATCTCAACAGTGTGATCTAATAAAAGCAATAATAATTTCAATATACACTTTTTATTTCATTATAACAGTAAACGAAGTAGAGCTTGTGGTAAAGTTTTTTTTACACTTATCATTGCGAGGGGTGAAATACATTATTATTAAATTATATTAGTTATTAAATATTAAATAATTTAGCACATTTACCAAATTCGTAAATAAGAACTAGCAATTACACGAAATCATCAGATTGATCACATTTGCCGTAAACGCATTTACATCGCAGAGTTTGGATTAGTACTCGCTTCCCTTTGTCGTGGATGTAATCAACTATTCCTTGCCCCGGTGATCATTCATATCCAATCTGCATGATCATGAGGGGTAGGTGTCTGCATCTACATTTGGTAGTTAGCGAAGGATAGATGCTTGCTAATGGGTTTAATTGGATATTCAAACGTACTCAAGTATAACTGAGGCTTTAAGTTTCAAAACCGACTCGATTAATTTTCAAAGTTTTAAGATATACCAAAAACGTTTGACGCTTTGTTTAACCCTCAAAAACAATGTTTTTGAACTGGATTGAGAGAAGTTGGATCATCACGGAAAACTTATGAAGAATTAATAAAAACAATTACTGTTGGTGGGGTCCACAAGGGGGTTTTATAGCGCAAGTTGCGCCGTCTAAATTTTTTAGGGGCATATTTTGACGGGGAAATGAAAATTTTCAAACCAGAGGACAATGAGAAAACATGAAACAGGCAGCAGCAAGTGTAATTGTATATGATCTACGTTTTTTCTAATTTTGCTTTTGCCTACACTGATTTTAAGAATAGATGAATAATAAAATATTATGGTTCACGCCATCTACTTTGTGGAGATGAGCACTCCTGATATTTTAAATAAGTAAATTGAGAAGTCTTTGAAACTAATCGCTTCAATTAATAATTTAATAATTAATAACTTCTTTAATGGCGATAACAAAGTAACTGGATTGATTTTAGTCCAGTCAATGAATGGCAAAAGGTGAGTATATAGAGTACATTAATGACAAATATAGTAATGTACCGAAAATTGATGAACAGTTTTTTCCCAGACAACAGAAAATTTGCAATGCAGAGTTTATGTTTCATCTATGTTATCATAAACCAATATTCTGATATTTTAATTACACTAATAATTGAATTAGATTATTTGTAATGCTCTATGTACTGTGTGATATTATGTTGCTAATTGTAACATATATTATCAGTTAATCTTATTAACTTCTAACACAGCTAGATTATTTTTAGGCGAAGTTGGTTGGGATCTGCAGTCAGTGAAGTACACAAAAATACTAGCTAGTTTACTTCACTGACTGTAACCAACAAACAACTTCTACTGAAAGCATCTACGCTCAATCATTTCTCCACCATCAATTATATTCAGCTTATTCGTAAAGTATGCAACAATGTCAAAAAAAAAATACTTAAACCTCGGATATAGGTTATCCTATATTTTTATCCTATAACAAGTCCTATTTTATGTTTATACCAAACAGTGTTTTATTTATTAATGTTTAAAATAACAAATATGACTGACATTTGATTAACATTTAATTCTCATATTTGGCAAATATAATGGTAACTTTTTCATGGAATCATATAATTTTGGCGTAGCCTACACTTATTGCAGAGCTAAGTGCAATGTAAGGGGAGAGAGATATGACCCTATAAGGTGCGGTGACTAACTCACATTGAGAGCGTGCAGTAGGTGTGCGGTCATGGTGCCGACCAGCCTGATGTTGGCGACGGCCTGGGTGTACGGTGGGCTGGATCCTCCCTGCCAACCGATCACGATCACGTTCACGTCGGAGATGTTCAGCAGCCTCTGCGTCATCACCTGCAAGCAAGAAGGGTTAGCTTCATTTTTGACAAGGCAGTCCACCTCAAGCAGAATGTATTATCTTATATTAACACAGATTACATTTTATAAGTACATACATACATAATAAACGTAGCTACTGAAATGGAAGATGTAAGACTGAATTATTTGGAGATTGCATTGGGAAATTTGTTCAATAGAACGTACATTTGTGATGCAGATGATACTCTGAATGAATCAAAAGGAACAACATTAAATTGTGGCAAAAGGGCTGACAAAGTAGATTTAAAAATACGATCAGAAACTGTTTGTAGTGGCGATAAATCAAAGAATCGTGAATTAAATGAAAGAAATTTCTGGAAATAAAAATTTCACAAAATTTTAGTGAGGTTTGGCCTTGTTTAGAGCAGAACAAGGCCGCTAGGACCAAGCGTGTTGGAGAGTTGTCCGGTTTAGCATTCTCGAGTCTAGCTAGCATAGGCCTAGCCGAGTATAAATTTATTTCGTGGCAGACCGCAGACCAACAAATTAGATCTCGACCTTCCCTTTCTGGTTAGGAAAGGTTTGGTTGTACCTCTAGCACAATCCTCCCACCGTATGTCAGAAATGGTGAGGTTGGGAGGCAAAAAAAAGTGTGGAGACAGAAGACTGGTCCTACCCTCTCCGGCGGCTGTGGGTGATGAAAGACTGGTCTCGTTCATCGGTCCATGGATAGTTCACACAAAAACCGCCAAGCCCCCCGAATTTTTCAGTGCATAGGGTAACAATTCGATGTAGTTGTGGATTGTAAGACCCACATTTATTCTTTCGAGAAATAATGCTATACGACGATGCTGTTATCCGGCAGCTTTCCTCTTCTGAAATAGTTAGTGAAAATAAATTCCCCCTGGATATCCAGCGACAGAAACATGGCAGTGTCCTCATTTTTCATACTCCTCAGACCTCTCAGTTCCTACACCAAGATTTTGCGCATTTCAAGCGCCTTTTAGTAAAATAAACTAAAAAAAAGTTTTTATTGATATTATTGACCTAATTTTCATTGTTGCTTTCAACGTATATAATAATAATAATAATGCGTTATTTATTCTGGGACCCTTTAGAATAATGTACAGAGATAGAAATGTGGGCTTGGCAGCCTCAGAGAATAATTACAAAATTAACAGATTTATTGAATAAATAAAATAAAATATTATTTACCTTCAATCTTCAATTAACAGAAAAAAAAATGAAATCAAAGTATTTAAAACAAAGTAATTATTTATATACATATTTACAACATCTATTTACAATTTTATGAGAACTGAACGGATAAGAGGAGATTGAACTGGCGGGATTTAAATGTGGGGAGGAAGGTATTGGAGCAACGGATGTAGGATGGGATAGAACTCCATAGGTATGTGGATCGAATAATAAAAGATCTGTCGAAAGCAGCGATTTGGTTTCCCAAACCAATGAATATTAAACACCCCGGAGACGCCCCCATATACCGCACAGCGATAGTCGAAATAAGGAAATATTAAGGAAGTAATAAGGAGTTTACGGGTTTCTAATGTAAATAATTGGCGGAGGTAATTTAGTCGGTTTAAAATGGAAAATGCACGGCGGGAAATATCTGATACATGTTTTTTCCAGGAAAGGGCTTCATCAAAGGTCATTCCAAGGTTCTTAATGGTGGGAAAGAATTATCACTGGGATATATAGAGTAAGATCTCTGAATTATGTACATTATACATTATGCTGAAGAATTAAGCAATCATTTTTTCTTGAATTCGTTTTTGTTTTTCCATATCTTTTCTCGGAAAGTTTGAGTCAAAACAAGACTCAATGAATATTCTGTCATTGAAAATTAAATATTGGCATTAAAATTCTAATATTTGGGCCTCGATCAAGTTTGTGTGAATCACTATTATTATTATTCAGTTTTCACGACAGTCGGCCTCTTAATAAATATTTCTAAAAATTGTGAAAAAAAATGTAATACATTTTACATTTTTATCTCTTCATAATTTAGAGAGGAAAAGGAGAGCAGCTTTCAAAAACCTTGGAGGGAGCCTCGTTTCAGTTTGAGGTTGTTGGAACTGGATTAGTGATATGAAAGTCATAGATTTATTAAATCCCGACACTCTCCTTTGTAACTTGTAACACAGCAAATTGGATCTTTAACCTTATTAACTTGGGAAATTCTAGTTAGCGCCTCAATTCTCTGATTGAAATTGAATACGCATGTAACTTTAACTAAGAAATTACTGACCTTGATCCACTTCTTATCGCCATTTTCGAGAAACCCGTGAGCTATGGTGTAGAGGCGATGGGTCGGAACCAGAGAGCTGTTTAGGTAGGTGGATGAGTCGTTGTACCTGAGCCGCTGACATTCGGTGGGGTTCTGTCTGGTGTAGAGGCAGAAGACCGGGTCTACCTTCTCCGGCGGCTCTGGGTGATGGGAGACCGGTCTCGTCTCATCCGTCCATGGGAAGTTCACAGAGTAACAGCCGAGCTCGCCGAAGCATTTTTCACCAACATCTGGAATTGTTTTTGTATCTTGTACATAAAACACCATCTTATAAGTTGAGAATGGACTCATGCTAACAAAAATTTTAATTATTCAGTTACACATACTATATTCCGTTCGCTAATCAACGCCTCTGATCAGTGGGGTACGACTATTCAACATTAATTCAGATTCAACTTTAATCTCACCATTTGAACATCTTATCCCCACCTTGCCTACTAAACTCATACTGTGATATGACAGACTGAATAAGTGACAATGAAGAATGAATGGATAAAGATGTAGAGCGAAATTAGACAGATAAGTGAAATTAGACAGATGTTGATAAGTTAGTATCGTTTGAGACAAGGCCTTTCGCAGCTTTCATATTAAGAGGTGTGAGACTGAATAAAAGAAAATCTCAGGTAGATAAATGGTTTCAAACTATATAATATTATATTAAGTTTATTGTTATCCCAAGTTATAAGAGTGATACAAACACATTGCTTCCAAAAAAAATTATAAAAATATAGACAGCTTTTTTTAGAGGGATGGAGGATTTCCGTGGAAATGCTATCAAAAGGAATATTATTAATATTTATTCATTTAATATTTAAATCTGATATCCCTGATCAATTTTTAAGATAAACAAATAAATACGAGGTCAAATCTCGGTTCTCGGTGGGACTTTAAACTCAGCATGATTCCCCTGCCCCGGGGAAACACCATTACAGTCTAAAAGGCAAGACAAATATTTTTGACTCCCCTTTCTTACTTTTTAAACTATACGGAGTTTTTCCCGGGACAGAGAAGAGGATGGGGAGTAATGCCCAGTTAAAAGTCACATCGGGCACCGGGAATTGAACTCAAATGGATACTTCAAATAGGTAACGAAGTACCTCTTTTCTAAGAGTTACAAATCAATTTATTTATTAAATATTTAATAGTTGACCGTTGCATTATAAAGGAAGGAGATGGTCCGGGGTTGCGGTCATAAATAGGCTAAATAGTTTTACCACTATTTATGACCGCAACCCCTGACCATCTCCTTCAATTTATTTATTGTTTAGTTTTTAATCATTGTATGAAAATATCTTAAATGACATATCTGTTCTATAACTTTTTTATTTTTCTTAAAAGTTTTTTCTTTTTCTCACTCTTATCTAAATGTATTTATCTTTTTTTTGTCTTCATTGTATTGAGTTTTAAAATTAAATTTTACTTGTACTTAAGTGGATGCGATCGACAGCGTACTACTCCTTAAGCAAGCTACTTTTTTTCTATTATTACTTATATATATATCAAGGACATACCTGTTCCATTCTTGAGGTGCTCTAGTGTTTGAACTGGGGCAGGTGTTGTTGTCGTAGGCTCCTGTTCGTTGACAGCAAACAATATGGCGGTCTGCAGGAGCAGACTACCTGTGTGGTTGAACATCCTCTATACCTGAAAGGTCAGAGCAGAATTAAATCTTGAACCCCGATTTTGAATGTTTATCTGTCATATTGGCAGGGTAAGATAAGAATAGTGGAAAATACATTTTGTAAGTTTTGTTAGCAATTAAATATTATTGACGCACCTTCCCTGTACGCCTACATCCATCTTGGCAGTACCATGGGCTGGCCATTTATTTCATGATTATTTTGTAACAGGTTTGAATTGAATCGCGAGGAGAACGTAGCGATCCTAACATAAGTAAAGATGTGCACCGGGATAAGTGACCCTTCTTAAATGTTCTGTGACAATGAACCTCTATCGGTCGTGTTCGTTGGAAAAGCTTAGTGCCTCCGGAGGTCGTGCTCTGATCTTAGAAAGCCGACATTGATGAAAATGGGAACATCGAAACTGATCGTGCCATCTCAGGTGAAACCGAAACTGGCAAGGGGTAGGTATGGGAGGGGAGGGGTAAGCCACGATCACCTGTGCAACACGATCACTAACCTTCACGACCTTAATCTCTTAGTATCGGGTAGCTAAGCTAGCTCAACAAGCCCATGTTTCTTTTCCATTTGATTTTTATTAAATTTAATTTATTTAAAGAGGTGCTGAAGTAATATATTAAAGGATAACTCTAATCGTTATGAAGTAATGCAAAGTACCTTCAGATATAGCATTTCCATGTTGTCATTCTGTACTGAATTGTTTATGTATATTCAGTAAATAAAATAAAGGGACGATTTGTGTTAATAACTGAGGGTTACTGTATGGGGGTGCTTTTAACTTTGAAATTAATCTCCCACCCTTTTTCCTGGCTCGAGAAAAATCCCGTATGGCCTAAAAGGCTTTGAATGGGAAGTAAAAATAAAAGAAAGTTACTGAATGTTGAGGAGCTAAAATATGACTAGATAGTAGTTAAACAATTTCCTCAACACGACATATACTCGTATTAAAAGTAAAAAATAAGATAAATGCTCGAACTGAAATCATCAGAAAATAGAAACTTAGAAGTTTACATAGGAATTTTCACTGAGATGAGTGATTCAAAACAACTAAATACAAAATAACTGTGATGAAAACTAATTATAATTATACAAAATAGTAATACATAAAATAGTGGTACATAAATAAAAATGTGGGTAAAAATAATTTCTGGATTTCAAAATCTGGTTACTAAATCAATTTAAGAAGATTTTTTTAAAGATATTGAATGGCTATGGTAATAAAGATTGAAGATCTCTGTCTCCATGCCTAATATTTTAGTTTATGCATAGATATTTAATTTGTTTTAATTAATAAACTTTAGGTGCGGAAATTATGATTGTTAACTTCTTACGATCTAACTGATGATCTAAAAATGGATAAATTTCTTTCTTTTATAATTTTTTATAATTCTTTTCAACTTTATAATGATAAATACAACTAGTAAATATGAAATGATAAATTTGTAAAATAAAAAATAATACATTTACATTTTACATGACATACTACTTTTGTTTTCTTTTGAAATTGCGTTCCTTTCAATTTTGGTTTATTATTTTCAATAATGAACCATTGTGATCGACCAAAAAATTCAAAAACTTAATCCCCTCTCAAAATTTGAGGTATTACGTTTCAGGATACGTAGAATTCGAAAAACGAATAAATTTTTTTCTGTCTGTCCGCCGTCCGCGCATTTTCTCCTACTTCATGGTTTTTAAAAGTTTACGGAATTTCCTAAAAAAAAAAAAAAAAATCGTCAAAATCGGATAATTAGGAGCAAAGATATGGTCTCTAGTTTTTTTTTTTTTTTTCCTGGAGTCATACTTTTCCCTCCACAGTTGGAGGGACAAGTCTCGTTTGGAGTTCTCTCGCCAAATTGTAAATATTGTATATATGTGTGTATGTGTTCTTTTTATTTATTTATTTTTAGGTTATTTTGTTCTTATTTATTGTATATATATTATTTTTCTGTATAATTTATTTTATTTACTGTACATAGAGTGTGAATGTGATCTGTGAACACTATTTAAATGTCCTTGAGACAGATTGTAATATTTTTCAATAAATAAGCTTAATCGGAGTTTTTTTTTTTATATGTCCTGCTGCACAGGCTAGATCCTTTGTTTTGGTTTTCGAATTTTGTATATGTTACAGAAGTAATGCTAATTTTTTTAGCTTATTACTAATGATTAAAAAAAAAAAGTTTAGTCCAATTATTGGAATCAACTTTTATTTATTTCTCTTTATAACTAGGAAGGTAATGTTTCTTTAGATTTATAATTGTTTGGAAATAATAAACCATTGTGAAATAATTTGCAGCGTTTTTTTTTTTTAGTGTGATATAATGAGAGTAATTTCTAAACCCGTTCAAGAGTGTTCTTTATAGTTTATAATTAAGATGTAATACCATGACCCAAATAATTTGAATTTGAAACGAGTTTAGATATCAATTACAATAGTGTTCTGCTTGAGATTATGTTGATAAAAAATAACAAGAGATATGTATTATTTAAGTAATCAGTTAGAGGGGGGGGGGAGAGGGTTATTCGTCAGAGATCCCGTTCTTCACTATATTAGATTCAGAAGAACAGTTCATGTTTGGTGGAAATGCAGATTTTAAATCAGTTCATGCCATCTATCTTAAATATCTATTTGTTTTTTTTTACCCATGGTTATTCTGTTAAAAACGTTTTATTGTTTTGGGACTCCAAACAACAAAGAATCCAAACAAAGGATTCTTTGTAGTTAATAGAAAAAATAAATTTTCACTATATTTCAGCAGAATAAATTAATTAATTTAAGGAAAATGGTAATTTCTTGAAGGAGAGACCTTTAACATACATTTTTATTTTGTTGCCATTTTCCATATGATATTTAGATTGACCTCTATTTTATCGATTTTAAAAGGTCATCATTTGAAATTCTGCTCTGTTGTAAAAGTTATAATGAAATTTGCATAGTTAGTGAAATTTTCATTCGACGAATGGATGATAAGATAATAGATGCTTTCCCTTAGCTCCCTTTCGAATATTATTCTACGGAGCCAACTTGGAACATCTCCAAAATATCATAGCTCAGTTAACGCGAATGGTCATTAATGACGTGGTGACTGCCGCTATGATGAATAGAAGGGCCATTTTCAAATTTATACTCGTATTAATGAACAATTCGAATTTAGCAAAAAAAAAAACAGCATTTAGTGTCTTTTTTTTTATATTAATTTCATTTTTGTTTTCGGACTGTAGGTCATACATTGTTGTTTATTTTCATGTTTCCAAAACTTTGAGACTGGGTTGGTTAATCGATTGACTCATTCATTCGCTGGATACTGTGATACTATGACCCTAGACCAACGCATATCATATAGATAACAATAACTGCGTAATAGGCCTCAATGAATTCGAAGATATCCTGAAATGAGCGGTTTAAAGATGTCTGAAAAACAATTACGGTGATATAATGTACATATCCGGTTTCATCTTCTTAGATAGTGCTGTCAACTCACAAAGATAAAAATGTACTGATATTGACTTGAGCAATGAAAAAGATGTTTCATAATATTGATTTTTAAAAAATCTTCGTTTTTTGGTCTGTTAAAAAAATATATATATGCATAATTTGATATTAGTTATTTTAGTTCGATTGGTCATGAAAGTGTCATATAGGGGTTAAACCTAATGAAGATAAGGTGCAGATTAAAAATATATCACGCTTAATATTTACATCAACGTTGATATATCATTAAAGAAATTGAACCGACAATGTATGTTTATAAATAACCTAACTATGGGATATCGAAGGTCCAATATAGATATTAATAACGGCCTATAGCTATCGATTCCATCAAAATATCGGAGTTGAAAATATCGATAGCTAGTTGATATTTTCATCAATATTATAAACATTTTTGAAATATGAATATTATCAAAATATTAATTCATTTGCTCTCATTGGTAAAATTAATTTTCTAGTTCCTGCCCATCTTCGTCATCAACAACTTTTCCCCAGAAATTTCCATTCAACCAATTATGTCTTCCATTCATTCATAGATCGGGTTCAACCAAATGCTAATTTATTTGCATCCTACATAGATTTCTTTGACGATTTGTGGCCTTGATTTGAGAAGGTTCTAACGAACAAATTTGTGAAAATTGAGTTTACTGAGTGAGGAGCTTTTCACGAAAAAATTATTGAATGGATGATAATTATGGTGATGGAATCGGAATTCACAAACAATTGAGAATGCAGCACTTCATACTTACTTTCCTAAAATTCGCTGATTAATTTTCACAAAGTACGGCTCTTCCTCTAGTTTCTTCCCTAATTCTGTCCCACCTTGCCTAGTGTATGGAAGACTGTCTGACGGGCAGAAGATGAAACTAAAAAGATTATATTTTGTCTCATATGATTTATTTTTGTGATATTCCCAAACGGCATCACATCTCTCTCAGGTACCCTGAGCAAAACTTTCCGAAATCAATACCTCCTTAGTTCCTACCTATTCCATTCACTGAGATGAAACAAACCAGTTTGAACAAACCAATTGACCTCTTCTATCCTTATATTCTATCCACTCCTTTTAATATACGTTCTCACAGAACAGCTTCCATTAAAAATCCTTTGTGATTCTAGCGAATTCGTATTGGAATTCCCTACCTACTATTGGAATTCCCTATTCTATTATTTCTTTTTCTAAAGCTTTCTAGCTAAGCTCATTCAAACACCACTTATTTCTCCCTCCATCAATCTTCCGTGCACATCTGAAGATTATATTATAAAATTGATTTTATACTTTTAAGATTATAGGTAAAATTGATGTCTCTGATTTTACACTGTTAATATAAATATAACCTTCTTTTATCGCTTAATTTATCTTTAAAAGTGATATATAATGCTGAGATCAATTTACAAATGATGATTATAAGATGAAATCAGCCCAAGCATGCAACGTTTTTCTTTTAATCTAGAATCAGCTGTAGTCGTTTATCACGATATCGCCCCGTGCTTGTCACATGTAT